TGAAACGTCAAATAACCATCTGACTGTCCATCAGACGTAATACGTCTCTGACAATTGCAAAGTGAAATTCAACGAAGGAGACTTCTACGGATTGCACGGCGAAGCCTGACGACCTACTTTCTTAAATAAAATCATTCGTTCCTCTTGATGCCCACAATTTTTTTAAATCGGACACCGCTCGAATGGGAAAAAGCGGCGTACGCGTGACGTAATATCGGCTGCTGTTATTTCTGTCCGATTGATCGATAAAAATCAATTGTTCGGTAAAAACGATTAACAGATATTTGGATCATTTTGAACGACAATATTATTTGTGCTTTGCAACTTTTCCTTCGGAAATATTCAGTACTTTAGTTTCTGGTGAAAATCCGATCGTCTGAATATTTCGGAAGCAAAAATGGATCCGAGAAATTCGCGTGTGTCGCATTAGTGAAGATTATGCAAGTGCGTGAGTGCGCGAGATCGAGGAAATACACACACATTTCAACATACATTGGATTCAATCGGCGACGATGAAGCGATGTACTGGGCGCATCGAAGGCACATATTGCGTAATCAATTATCGACACGTCCAAGGAAGACTAACGCCCTTAAATAATTCATCCGGAGGCCTCGAGGATGGATCGAAGGCCGTTCGGGATCACATGCAAATCGGATTCATTAGCGTTAAGCCAGACGGGGGTGGAAAGTAGAGTCGCCCCCGTACGACCCCTCGACGTAAACACTGCCGACACTGCGTCAACCTCTGCTCTGCCGGTTCCCGAGGGCTGTTATTGCGCGGTTACACCAACCCCTACTGGCATTCGTCTCTCTTTCGCGAGGACATTTGAACTTTGTCCTCGTGCTCCTCAACCGCCACTTCGTTTCACTCTCAAACGCGGAAATATTTGGGAGCTCTGGAGAGCTGAGTTTCTGATTTGTAGTCACTCCGTTGCCACTACAAACGGATGGAATATTCAATAACAACCGTTATTTGGGAAAGTTGATAACTCGAGTACGCAACTCTTCATTTGCAATTTTGCGCGCATCGCGTGATACAGCACGTACTCGAAAATTTATAGGCGCGTACATTCATGCGTAGATATACAACGTTTATAAATGTTGTGAAAATTCGTATTCTCCTAAAAAAAAGATTACATTCTCCAGCGAATAAAATTGCGTCGTGAATTATATAGCTCGTCTAAAACGTTCTCAAGGCCGAAAACCACGTCGGCGCTATAACGATGATCGAAAACAACGATCGGGCGTAAACACTTCTGAATTGGGATCAGTCAGGGACTTTTCCCCAGGGCGGGTCACGGGAGCACGAGGATGTACCCTCGAGATTACAGAGATTACGCGGAGATTGAATCACTTCCCAGCCACCCCGCGCGAATGCCTAAATGTGTCTCCGGCAAGCTGTCCCTTAATCATCGTGTCTTTACCAGAGGTCGTTATCACGCTTCCGATCCAAAGTTATACGCTCCGTGTTCCGGATTGCATATCATCAGAAGGCGCTCGTTATCATAAGTTGCGCGCAATTTCTCATCGCGTTACTCGTGTTACTCGTGTATTTTTCGTCTTCTTGACATTGAATATCGACGGTCGCCCTGACGGTCGAGCCAACTGACAGAGCAATGTAATACTATGCAGCAGAAATTTCCATCTTTCATATTATATATATATATATATATATTAGTGAATTTTATTAGCGCGCGCGGATTTACTCTAACTGTGGGAAGAAAATTTAGGCACGGAGCTACACGAGACTCGCCGAGATAAAACGACGGCCCGAAATAAAAAGAAATCCGAGAGAGGATGAGTGGCCAAAGTTTTCTCGTCCCTCGCGAATGATCGCGTCAATTATGCGAAACGTGCGTAATGAAAGCGCCGTCGTGAAAACCAGTTGAAAACAAACTCTGAAAGGATCTTGGCAACCCCTAATCAAGTCCCGTTTAATAAAACCGGGTCCGGGGATCCCTGAGTCTTGCACCCCCGGCGGCCCTGGCGTCGGGGCCGAGCTCGGCTAATCTGACTTTGATTAAACTTTTAGCGACACCGAAAAGGGTGCCAGGCCGATAGAAACCCGCGTGCGCGGGCGCGGGCGCGTTTGTGCGTAATGCCTGCGCACCACCACGCAGGAGCTGCACACAGTCGCCAACCCGGTATGTAGTGTAAGTCGATTTTTATTACGTTCCATCGCATACATTATAGCACGGTATATACGACCGCGCGGTTAATGGGCTTATCGACGCCGTGGGATTACGACAATAAAGTTTCCCGGCACGTCGCGAAACCGCATCCGATCTGTCACGCTTACGGCTCCATTCGCCGTGCTCGTTTGCATTCGCGATTTCCCGCGGATCATGCACGTAATCACGTAATCACGGTCGATTGATATTCAACGCAAACTTAGAGCGGTACAATGCGAACAATAGTATCGCGGTACCTCCGCGCTGACGTCCTGGTCAATTATGTGCCAGCCGTTTATCGCTTATCGTGTAAACGCAGTGGTAATTGTAGTTATATTGAGATAATCAATTCAACTGAGAACGCCATATTGGCATTCGTATATGCAAGTATCGGGTTAACTTCTTACCTGGAAAAACTGTCGCCGACATTGCCGTTTAACCTCGTTGATATCCAGCGGCGCTCAGTGTCCTGCAACGAAAGGACCTATTGAAGCTTTGAAGCGTCGAATCGGGTGTGTGACTTCAGTCGTTATCTCGCTAATCGACGCTTACGTTACTCGGTCGAAACGATCGCGTAAGAAGTCGCGGGTATAATATGCGATACCGCGCGCAAATCCGCCATTACGGCTGTTATAGATGTGGTAGCGAACTCTGTTGCCACTTTGGCAAACTAACATTAGCTACTGTCTTATGTATCACCGACAGAGGAAACAATTATCTTACAACAGCAAGTCGATACGCTTGTGAACGATTAATTTATAATACACTGTGAATTTTGTGATCTCTATCATTTTATATGTGCGCGTACTCTGTTATTTGTACTGGAGAAATATTTTGACTTGCGAATCATCTGTATATAAAGGGTTAATTTTTCACCTCACCTGTGTCGTGAATATCGTCGCCCAATTTCGTCAATTTCAGTGTCCTGCAGCGTCCTGCAACGAGAAGACGTGTTAGAGCGTCGATTCGACTATAATTTCGTCGTTTTTTCGCGAACCTATTCGTGTTATTTGATCAAATAACAACGTAAACGTCGTATTTGCAATATCGCGCGAGGGACCCGCCATTACGCTACACCGATCGACACAGTGGTGCACTCTACCGTCATTTAGATAAACTAACACTAGCCATTACATAAATTTTAAGCATCATCGTAACTAATAATGAAGAATTATTGACAATAAATCGATCGATTTCTAGACAAATTGATAATATTAATTTAATGATTCAATGATAGACAGTTTATAATATTAATTTAACGATTTCTATTGTTCCATTGTTTTATATAGTCTGTAAAGTAAGAGCGTGTACGGCATAAATGGCAGTTGGCTTCATTTATCGTCCTAGTTCTTTTTTAGCCGTATTGTGAGGCATATCTCAAGCACAAGCTTCGAGGGAAAAGAGTGTGCACTTTGAAGCAACTGACACGACAAATTCGTCTCATTTGGAGGTCTTTACCGAACGAATACGCAGTCAACTTAGTAGAAAGTATGCCTCGGAGATGCCAGGCAATTATCAATGCCGGTGGTGACTGGACTCATTATTAATGGTATAGCATTTTTCTTCTCATGGAGTACAACAAATCCATGTACTTAAAAATCATTAAAAATAAATTTTTCTACACATTAACCCGTACACGCTCTTACTTTACAGACTGTATATCCAAATACCATTTTATTTGCATCAGTAAGGGCCAATTGTTCGTGGTAAAGTTAACTGCTAGTTAAATCATATCTCTATTTTTGTCTAAGTTGAAAGAAAAACGAAGACAAACATATGATTTAACTATCAGTTAACTTACCAAGAAGTTGAAACAACCGGCCCTAAGATATTTCGACGTTTGGTCGTCTGTATGTAAAGAGTTACCTTCTTACCGAGACTATTGTCGTAAATATTGTCGTCTAATCTTATTGATATCTAGCATTATTTTAAGCGTTCTGCATCGAGAAACTGTATCGAAGCATCGAGTCGAACAAGATTTCGTTGTTATTTCGCGATTTTACTCACATTATTCGATTAAATGACGATGTACATATTGTAACACAATAGAGAATTTTTGCAATAACGTTTTTTTAGACATAGTAAATGCCAAAGTTACGTTATTAGATCGAAAGATGAAACTGCGCATGCGTCGGAAATATGGCTGTCTGATTCACGATAAGATCCACTTGATAGTACTATTGAATGTACTACTACAAATGATATTACTGCAAATATTTGGTAGAACAATTGTAGGTCAATTGTAGGTTTAAGCATTTCAAAATATTTGCAGCTTCAAGTAAACCGTATATTATAAATATTGGCTATAAAACCAGTTTCACTGCACTACGATTGGTCAATTTGAACAGTCAACCAATGTGATTGGTCAAGTCTTTTGAGTTTATCAGGTAAAATAAATAAATGCTATAAATGCTTTGGATTTTTTAAGCATTATTTTATCTTTTTTTATACTTATTTTTAGGGAGAAATAGAGGTAGAATAATGCTTCTCGAAGTATTAATATCGTAATGTTGCTTGTTTTCAATCAAAATACAATATTTGTTTATAATAAGGAAAACATGTTTTAAAATCACTCTAATATCATAAATGTTTCTAATTTAATTTCTAATTAGCTATCTTGGCAAGCATTGTGTATATTTGCAACTTGCGATTAATATAGATGATCTTTATCAACCAACAGTTCCATCAGTCTTTCCTTTATTGGTAGCCCTGATGAAATTTACGTTTTCGCCGCAGGAGGTCTTCAAGATGATCAAGTCAGGGTTTCCATTATAAGAATGCCATCACCATTTTCAACTGTCGATGACTTCAACGCAGTGGTCATACCAATTAGGATTGTTGTCACGGATTACTTTCGATCACTGCTTTCGCACGATTTTTGTATGCGCTTTTTCAAATCCGAATGACGCGTATCAGATCTTTGCGCATGAAATCGCTAATCATAATAACAGGGTGTTCGTGAGTTGTTAAAGCACTGTCGACGGCTGAAGCCAGGCGGTTTGCTAATGTCGATCTATTAAATATTTTTCGGAAGGTTTTCATACACAGTGCCGGCCGATTAATTGCGTTTCAGTGTAGATTTGGGAGAAAATTATGTAGTTATAATGGTTGCGAGCACAGTGACTGATATGACTGGTTCCATATATCATGAGCGACAAGTAATTCGACAATGTTACTACATTCAATCATAGATCATCATGTTGTGCACTTTCGTTACGTAGAAAATAAGTTCAGCACAACAGACACTACACTAAGCATCTGTTGACAGGACATAAATGTTTAAAATTTCACATATTATATTATTGTGAAATAAATGTTTTCTTTTCCTGAGTTAATCTGTTTGGCAATTTGACAGAGATTGTACATTAAATTATAGGTGAAGGAGCTTTGTGCTTTGCACGCACTAAATAACCTGTTTCAAGAGCGTGGATTTAGCAAGCAGGAATTAGACCAAATCTGTTATAGCTTAAGCCCTGATGTTTGGATTAATCCTCATAAATCACTACTAGGACTTGGCAACTATGATATAAATGTTATTATGGCCGCTCTCCAAAAAAGAGGGCGTGAAGCTGTGTGGTTCGACAAACGTAGGTCTGTACACTTAAATTTATATCAGTAGAATTACAATTATTTAGTTACAGTTGCAAACTGTTGTTGCTAGTAATTCCTGCTTCCATTTTAGAGACCCCAAGTGTCTTCGTTTAGACAACATCGAGGGTTTTATACTTAATGTTCCAACTGAATATAAATTAGGTTTTGTCTTACTTCCTTTAAAACGACGTCATTGGATCGCTTTGAAAAAGATTCATGGTGCCTTTTATAATCTTGATTCAAAACTGGATTCACCACAATTAATAGGAAAGGTTGTTAAACATGATAACATTAAAGCAAAAATATTTTCATACACCAGTTTTATATGGTATAAACTTTGTATCTTCTTTCATGTCAGGACAATGATTTACTCATATATCTAAAGGACCAGATAGATAGCAAGGAGAAAGAGTTATTCCTTGTTGTCTCTAGAGAGATTGATAACAACCAAGGATGGTTGATAGATACAAGTGAGAATAAAGATGACAATAACACAGACCATGATTCTATTAGATATATTGAAGATGGATACCCTGATATAGATTTGAAGAAGTCAGAATCCAAAGAGATGAATGAAAATGAGGAATATCTAGATAACAAAAATTCTAGATAATTGGGGCCATTACATACATGCTTTACTTAATTGTTTATTTATTTATTGCCTTGTTGCAAATCTGACTGGTGGTGATTATGCTTGACTTAGGAAAAGACCCAAAGTTATGGGAATAAAAAAGTAAAGGAAAGTGAAAGAAATAATGGGAATTGCACGTAATAAGTGTTTAACTGAATATTTCACTAGAGGAAAGAATATTCTACAAGAATATCTCCACTCATATCTACATGTTGACACAAATAAGACTTTTCCATTATTAGTGTACACCCTCTCTTTTATAAGAGAAGGAAGCCACTCGTAACATGGCACATACCACAATGCATACACTACACATAGTGTACAACATAATGTGGACAACGATGCAATCTAAAAAGTAGCATACATAAGAGAATGTAATGTTGTATTTATTCAAAATGAGAATGTCGCTTTATTAAAACCAATGTGTATAAGAGCTCTTATTTAAAAAACAGTAGCTCTCTCTCTCTCTCTACGTGAAAGAATATTTATATTACAAAAAAAAATGTGTACATGTATGTAATATTATTTATTGTGATAATCACACCTACCTGTCATTTAAAAAATTTTGTGTAAATAAACAGACACTTGTGATACAAAATTACCACATTACACCTTAGGTGCAATTCATTCTTTTACACAATGGAAACAGTTGTAATTTACTTCATACATGTAATTTATCTTATATGTATAAGATTGTATTTAAGTATTATTATGTGCGTTTATATTATAAGAGCATTTATATTATAAAAGTAAAGTGTGTGTTTATTTTTATCATCAATATGCTGGTCTATGGTATAAATATGGTATATTTAAGTCACGAATTTAAGTAAGCAGCAAGTAAGTATAATTAGCAATAATTTATTTATTTTTGTTATTGTACAGTCACAAGAATGAAAAGAACGATTCACTATACTCAATATATATATATATATATATATATGTGTCATATAGATTTAATAAAATATACTTAATATCATTATGTTACCATTTTATTGCAAGTGCTGTATTCATTTTTTGTATTTCATGATACTGTGTACTGAAATACGCACCAACTTTGTCCGTGTGTTCTCCTCCTAGCCAAGTTTTATACAAATTCTGTGCCACTTTATTTTCCTCGGGATTACTCGTTGGAAGCTTATGGTACATATTTTCTAATGTCAATGCAAGTTCTCGAGGTTGAACGTTCCCTTCGGGTCTTATTTGTGCTCCGCCGTTTAAGCAACCTAGCAATGATTGTGTTAAAACCCTTATCATTTACACTTGCGAATATAACGCATTATTTAAAACGAAACAATAATTACCACATGGGCATGCCATAATTTCTACATAGTCATAAGCACATTTGCCTCTTTTCATTTTCTGAACTATGTTTTGTATATTTCTGAATCCATTAATAATAGCAAATTTCAGTAACACTTCATTATTTTTTTTCAACTCTGCTTCTTGGAAGTCGGGATTTCTAAGAGTTTTGAAATCCACCGTGACATTCTCTTCATCAAAAAGATGCTTTGCTGCATAACGAAAAATGAAATCCGCATAGCCGCCTGATCCTGATCCTCTGTGACCCCATAACTTATTATCAATTTCTTCGCTATAAGAACCGAAAGGTTGTTCGATTTCACCTTCGTCTGCCTCACTTAACATTAAATCGTATTCATTGAGCATCTGTTCTAATTCAACTGAAAAATATATACAGCATTTATTATAAGTTATATTTAAATCTATTTAATTTGCGAATGATTCGGTGAAGAAATAAATATATACACACTTGATGTTATGACGCAATCTACGTCTCTAGTTTCCTTCTGTTGATTATAAAAGTCTTCTCTAGAAGCTTCCAATTTTTTATCATAACACGGCATTACAGTCACGTGATATATTTGCTCTGATGAAAGGCCCATAATTTCGGCTAAACGATACTTTACTAACGATCCCATAATTTGTTGAGGTGATTTTGTGATGCTTATGTGTGGCAATATGAAATTTCCATGAGTTTTCTCAGCATAACATACCCAACCTATAGTGCAGAAAATTAGACATTTTTATATTTCATTAATAATTACCATGCAATGTGTTCTGTTTCCTTCATATTATTTGTTTTACCTGGACAGGAAGAGGATAACATTGGTAATTGATTCTTTGCTCCTTCTTTACTGGCTTTGTAACGCTCAATAAATTCTTTGGCTGCTTCTAATAAAGCAAAATCGTCGGCCATAGTCATATCTAATACAGAATCAGCTCCCAATTGATAAAAAAAGCCTGCCAGTCTACGAAGAGCCTGTTCTGGTGTGAGTTCATAACGTTGTGCCAGTGATAATATAGGTTGTACTGATAAGCTTACCACTATATATTTTGAATCTGTATTTTCAATGTTCTAGAAATACAAAAAATACCATAATCATGCATATGAATACATTTACAATATATATTCTATATAACTTTATATATTTTGCACAAAATATTTTGTATTTTTTTTAAATTCAATAGCAGTAAAATATACATGAATATAAAATGTATGATAGACATATTAAAAAAAATTTAATTCGATATATTAATAGTATTATATTATTAAATAGTATTAATAACACTATTTAATAGTATTAATAACATTATGTATTTCTCTCTAAATATTATTATTATTATAGAAAGTATTTCATGTTCAAAAAATTACCTTCTTACATTGATTAGAATAATATATGTTTTTTATATATGTTATGATTAGAATAATATGTTTATATGTTTAAACATTCTTATTATGTAATAAAATTTGTTACCTGCTGGGCTACCTTCTCCTGAAATACTCTAAGTAGTTCTTCTCGACTTTGCTGAGTAACTAGTACACTCTCAGCAGATGTAATGCAACCACTGCAAGCTAAACAGTCTGCAAGTGTGATCTCAACCTTTTGCAATTTTTCAGGCTGTTGGATCTACATTGTAAAAAAAAATTTATTAAAACAGTTTTGAATTACAGATATATTTTAGTAAAATGAATATTGTAACAACTTACTTCATTGATCGCTGAATATGCATTGTCAGATTGTATCTTTATTTTGGAACCAGTTCTACTCCCACTTGGTTTCATTTCTATTGGCTTAATACACTCCTATAATAGCAAAATATGACTTAAAGTATAAAGATCTAATTGTAAATAATTTGAAATGTCGATTATTATACCTGTGATGGAGTGATAAAGTCATCCAAATTTGTAATTTGTAATGCTCCACTGAATCTTGATGCCATTTTTATGAAATTTTGTAACTAATCCAAGTATTTTCTGTTCACAACAAATACAAAGAATACAGATATGATAAAACTTCCTTAGAACTCTCAATTATAATTTTCCTTATTAATATAAATTGTCATTATATTTAGTTATTTTTAATTGTATAAACTCTAATTTTTGTTAAGAATTATTGGATAACAAAAATTAATATCACAATACCAAATCAAGAGAAATTAACCTCTTATTGTCACTCCTAAACTCTATATAATTATCAGAGTAACCGAGTACCAAAGTTTCTTAAATTTGTAACAAATCCTTTGTATAACTTATATACATATATTTGAATTAAAAATAGCATTTGAATAATCTCTTATATGGTGAAAGGACTAAAGAACACAATTTAGTTCAATAAACTTTGTGTTTCTTTCAGTAATTTACTCAACGGATTATTTATTTCTTTATTCAGATAACCAACAAATGCCCGTATTTCGTACCATACGTTTCTATTCTGATGTGTCAACAAATGTTAATTTTCAGCTCAACTTCATCTGAATCTTCTTGGAGCAGCTTAGTTTTATCTTTACTGGATGTAAAGATTACTCAATACGCACTTTCCCATGCGCGGGAATGGATTATTTACGATCATGACAATAATGTATTTCCCCTGTCACATGACTCACTGACTTGCGCCTGAGAAACTGCAACCGTTCCATTGTGAGAGTAATCGTATTAGCATTATTAGGGGCGCGATTTACTCTTATAAAATTGCTATAATGACCGAAGTGAAGAAAGACGATGTTGTAAAAATTCTTCATACCTATCCACTTTGTAGAGTAAGTAAAATGTCCTTTATGCGCTAGTTATCGTATCGGAGTTCGCTGCGTAAATAGACACGAATGGTATTTGATCAATAAGAGAGGCATCACGCTAGAGCGTAACGCTTCGTTACGCGTTCACTTTACGATCGGTTTTTCTAATCAAAAATTTTCAACATATACCATGTAAAAAATTTGCCGTTAAATTTTATTTAATATAATATATATATAGAGAGAAATTTAAGAATTATACATGTGAGGTGGTTTACATGTTCATTTTAAATAAAATTATTTCTATTGAAAAAAATGACTTTTACCTCTTTATATGTTTCTTTCAGTAATTTATTTTGACATATGGACAGAATTAAAAAATTACTAAATAAGGTATAAGTATTTGTGTATCAATTAATGTAAGATTTATTTCAAAGTAAAATTTTATATGTCAATGATTCAAATTAATGAAATACATTTTTAAAACTTGTCCTTTAATCAGTCATTTCTTTATATTTATTAACAGAAATGTGATATGTCTGATGAGATGAAACAAGAGGCAATGGAATTATGTGTAACTGCAGCAGAAAAGTATGCAGACAACTATGAAAGCGTATCTCGAATGATTAAGGAAACAATGGATAAAAAGTTTGGTGCATCATGGCATACCGTTGTTGGAGAAGGCTATGGCTTTGAGATTACTTATCAATTGAAACACCTTCTGTACATGTACTGTGCTGGCAACTTAGCAATATGCATATGGAAATCTGCGTAGTGCAGCTTTGACTATTGAAATGGATTGGATGTAACAGATTGTATGTGTAAAATTATTTTCTTGTGAATGTATGTCAAGTGAATTTATGGCATTATAAGTTGTATAATATATAAGAACATAGAGGATGAATATGTTTAATAACTTGTACCTCTTGTAAGTGGGTCCAACCTGTATTTAAGTTAAATATTTTATGCTGTAATAATCAAATATAATGTAATTGTCAGCAAAATGAAACAATCATCCACTTTATATGTATATTATATAGAATATAGAATATAATGAACTAAAATATTTTTTTTGACAAAACTTATTGAATTATCTGTTATTGTTTAACAACTAGGCAAACAATATTGTATAATTATAAGATTCGACCCTATTTCTAAAGTCTATTTTTTGTAAGAAAATAGATATGTATTTAAGAAAATGATACACGGTATTTGATAAAGCTGCACACACACATAACTGAGTTTTTAATTTAAGGCTCATCAAAAATCTGTAATTGTCTTCCATACAAGAACTGCTATGTTACCACCAATAAACATGTATAACAATGATTTTTTTTGGTATGTAATTGAGCAAGCATAAGCTTCCCCAACTGCCACTTGGAAAGGTGATCCAAATTTCTTATCCAGATTATCTTTAATCATGCGAGCTGCATGTTCATAATTTTCTGAATATTTTTCTACAGCAGTAACACATGTTTCTATGGCTTCTTGCTTCATTTCTTCTGGCATGTCACTATACTAGAGAAGGAGTCTGTTATAATCAAAATTTAAATATTTTAACTAGGAACATGATATTATATACAGTTAATTTACTTTACACAATGGATATGTATGAACCACCAAAGCTGCTTCATCTTTTTTTACTTCCCCAGCCCACATGTTTTACAAAAATATTCTCTAATCTTGTATATTGTTTAATAAAATCAAATGCAATATGTTTATGTTTGTAATATTGGATAAAACTCAATATTCGTAGTATATTTGGTTATATCAAATTTTAAATTAAACAAATGAATGTATGATACAAATTGCAATAAAATTCTCAAGATATAAGCAAAGAATGTATTTGGACATATAATCATATAATACAGTAATTTTCACAATACTGATCATTATTTACCTTCATAATTATTATATAAGAAAACTAAAATAAAGAATTATTATATCGAGAACTAAATACATGTGATACAATTAATAATCTCGGGACATATAAAACACACCGTGTGTGTAGGTTTTGTTTCTCACTTTAGTTTATCATAAAGGACTTTCCTGTAGAGAACGCTGTAATAAATAGAAAAATTCAATTACGTATATCCCTTTTAGCGACATCTAAGATCTCTTCTCTTTAGTTACACTCTTATACACTTTTTGCACTTTTTTCTTTTGACAGAATGCAATATCTAGCAACACAAGGAAAAGAAGGAAAGAGATAAAGAGTGATGCCAGTCGCAAGCTGATGTCACGCGTTTTTTCATTCTTGCATCGTGTCTCTTTGATACTTCTCGCGCTTTCATATTCGTGAGACGCTGAAGCTTCTATATATGGTCAAGTAGTGCCTTGAAACGTGAATACGGACAGTTATAAAAGTTGAACCGGTCAAGTCGTTGTCGAGTTGGAAAGCTCTTCTTTTAGCGTGAAGTATTAATTTTAATAAATTAATTTTAATTTTAAGATAATATATTTTGCAATTATATTTGATTTATATTTAACATTATCTTCTGATTTTGTTATTCCTTTCATATTGTTAGAAGATCATATCTACAAATATTTTTTTCTAATTGACAGGAATGGAGAGTGTACTTCAGCAGACAGTGATAGAGGTTGCTAGTCATGTTGAGCAACAATTGGATGCGGAATTAGAGAAATTAGAGAATTTGGACATAAATGATTATGAAAAAATACGTGCAAATCGATTGAATGAACTCAAACGGATGCAAAAACAAAAACAGGACTGGCTAGTTCTGGTAATATATTATGGCATATTTGATATTAAGATATATATTGTATTTTGTATTAAATTTTTAATATTGTACCAAAATTAGTTATATACGTTATATTTATATTAATTATATATGGATACATGTCATCAAATAATATGTCTTATGATAATATGTTATTTTAGGGTCATGGAGAATATTCAGAAATATATGATGAGAAAGAGTTCTTCGAAGTATCTAAGAAGTCAGAAAATATAGTTTGTTTATTTTATAAAGATGATTCTCAACGATGTAAAATAGTGGACCATCATTTTAAGATTCTTGCGAAAAAACATATTGAAGCAAGATTCTGCAAGTTAAATGTTGAAAGATGTCCATTTTTAACTGGTATATCTGTTTAAAATATTATGATGACAATATGCTGACAATTGATTATAATATATGTTTAAATATTGCAGAACGATTGCGGATTAGAATTATACCTACAATTGCATTAATTGTGAATGGTAAAACCAAGGACTACATTGTAGGATTTACTGAATTAGGTAATTGTGATGATTTTTCTACAGAAACTCTACAATGTCGTCTTGCACAATCAGGTGTGATAAATTACGACGATGATCTACAATCTTCTGAACCTGGCAAGAAGTCATTTATATTTAGACCTCAAAAACCTAAAACCATCAAGGGACATAGTTCAGATGATTCTGATGATGAATAAGACTATATCCAAATATGAAATATTTACATATATATTTATTCACATTTTCTTCATGTATCAAATTTAATCATTATATTGCTTTCTTCAATAGTAAGTTGAATATCTGTTATAATAAAATTTATAAAATCCATATTTCAATGCTCCTGTTATACCAGAATTTTTTATAACTTGGTAGCACCTCTTATACATATTAGGTTTTCATAATAATATAACATTAGGTTTCATTTATTTATATTAGTATATCCTAAAATATTCTCGTATGATAAGTCATCATAGTGACAAATTCATCAACTCAAAGGATTGCTTTGTGTAATTTACATGTGATTTTATTAAAATATAAGTTTGTTATATTACACAAATATTATTTTTACATTTCGTAACTTGATATGGTATATATTTCATTATGATTCATAATCATAACCAGTTACATTTAAGATTTGCAAAAATTCGTCGAATCGACAATTTTATCAGTTAAAAAGCAAATTATTTTACAATCAAATAATTATATGAAAGATGACAGTGATCGATAAGGAAAGCAAATATTTCAACTGTACATGACATATATGTACTGTGTTGTTAACATTAATAAAATATAAAATAAAATATATATATGAATAAAAAATCCGATGAACTTTTGCAAGCTTTTAATTACATGCACGATATAGAGAGAAGGAAAAGAGTGAGGGAGTGAGCAAATGACAGAAAGAGAGAAGGGGGAGAAATGAAAAAAGAAAAGATTTTATATCTTTAATAAGTTTTAAAAATTTGAAATGTTACAAAATGATATAACATAAACATCTAATTCGTTATTTTATATACTTGAGAAAAGATATGACTGTTTTGGGTATAATAGACTAAAAGGAGATAATAAATTCATGAAATTAATGAATAAAATAGTAACTTTATAGTTTTAAAATTGTAACATACTGCAAAATATATGACAGATTGCTGTGCAGATTATTCAGAGTATCACAGTAGTAGTGAGAAAAATAGCATATATTAATCTAACTTTTTAAATTTAAAATTCAATGTATACGTCTAAGGTATACATCCAAAGTATACACGCATACATATATACACATATACATACATATGTATATATATATATATATGTGATTTTGTTTTCTCATATTACACAACAGAAGAAAAATTGATACACTATCACAAAAAGAGAAAAAAGCAACTAGCATGACGTACGTATTTTTATCATTTTTCTGTCAATTAAAATTATATTACTTCAAAATAATGATTCAACATATGACTATATAATATCGTTTGTAAATTACATTTAAACTATTATATATATATATATCTAACGCAATGAAAATATATAATTTATTTTTATCTTGCGTGCGCGCGAAAAGATAAGTTTAATTAAATATTAAAAATTTTTACTTATATATCAAATTCTGTTGGGTCGCTGCACTATTGTGTTAGATGATACAGACATACATTAGATTTATTTATGATGACGTAATAAAAATATAACATTAAAGAAGATCGTTAATCTACGATATCACGAACATGGCTTGAAAGTATAAAACAAATATCTCGCTTACGATATATTTCACGATGTATTTCACAATATTGGACTTGTAAAATAAAATGTGACATGATGTGTGTGTATATATATATTTACAAGTTTAGGAAATGTTTATGTTGTTTTAATGAGCATATATAAGAAATCACATATGATATTTTTGGCTACATATGTGGAATCGAATTGGTTAATACTCATAAGACAATAAGTTTATTAACAAAAATAAGTTGCGCTACAACTAATTAATACAAATTTTCTGAACAAATGAAACTATATCCCCAAAAATTGAAGCTTGTCTTTGATTTTATCTTATCTAAACTATAAAGATATCGATATATGATCGTGATTTCGAGGATTAATTTAATTATCAGTGTGACACATTCACATTATTCACATTATTTTTAACAATCTATATATTAGTTTGTTTTCATGATTGAAAACATAGTCTGACCAGCTTATTAAAATGCATTAGTTTCGGTTACTATGTACGTATCTTCATATCTGGGAAAATCACATCAGTATATGTCGTCTACCTTTAATACGATTTACCAAATTGCAAATTTTAAGTGCTGGCCCGAGTTTTAGACCCATATATTTCATCATCATGTCACTATTAAGAAGAAGCAGAGCTTTGCCGTCGATTTCCTAAAAATTGTACTTCGTCAGTTTCATTGTAAATTATTTAACATATTTATCTTCATACTATATTAATCGATATAAATAATATAAAAACTGATTCAATAAGAGATCGTGTGGAATGTGACAAATGATTAAGTTTGCAATTAACTCACGTGTTTTCTAAATAAATCTGCATGTTGTCCTAGTGCTGGATCTGTAATAGCAATATAATGTATTACATCTTCAATAGTCCATTCTGCCGGTTCACTAGGAGGAGTGCGAGTTGCAGTAGTTTCAGATTGAGTAGTGGACGTTGCTGCTTCAAGTTCTATATATAAACATATTTTTATCATAAAATAATATTACACAATAACTTTTATTGTAAAATAATATTACACAGGAATGTTGTTTAACTAAGAAGTCAATTAACTAATATCTCAATGACAATTATAATATATTTATATGTTGCATTATGCTGAACAAAGTAGAAAAATAATTTCTCGTATACTTTTCAATGATACTAATAAATATCTTTTAATTTATTGTGCTACATATCACATTATTTATATAAGATTATATTAAAAAAAAAAAAAATGCTCACCAGGAACGGATTTACGTTGCTGCTTTATAGGTGCAGGTGATGACAACGTAGAATTGTTAGTACTTTGTATATTAGTTTGTTGTGCATGCTGTTGCGCTGTACTAGATGTTAAATTCTGCTGACTTGGTGATGACCATCTTCTCTTCTCTCCCACGGTGTTACTTGTTTCTTCGTTATTAATAGATTGTAATCGTAGAGCATTGGAGCACTTCATGCAAATTTCTTTATTTCTAACTACCATATTCTCACATGCACATAGATCTTCCAGTTGCTGGCTAACGTATGTATAAAAGTCTTCTTCATCCAGAAAAGCAGGTAATCTAAGGGAATTTGGCTTACTGTCCAGAATTAAGTGTATAGTTTCGCCTTCACCGCGTCTTATTAAACTTAACATTTGTCTCGTACTCATGGCTGCCATTAAAAATGCCTGGAAGAGCTCTTTGGCAACACTTGTGATAGAACCGGGACCAAATTCTGCTGGCATGGCTTTTACTTTCCGAGGATCGAAATACGGTCCGCAACAACAATTATGATTGACATAAAGCATATATTTATATTCTGCAATATAAAATTATTTTACGTTATTCAACATCCTTGTAAATATTGCACATATTATCTTACCAACCATTTTCGAGTGGATGAGGTTTGATATTGGCTGTACTAGTGTCAGGTTCTGTAGCTGGCTGTGGCGGTGCACTGGAACCTGCAGGGCTTACTAAAGCAACTGCTGGCTCTCTGCTGGTATTGCTACCGGAAACAGCCATTACTAACAAAACATTACTGCTTTTGGACTTAAATCGATTAGGGCCTGTTGCTGCAAAAATAAAAATTGAAGATATTATTGAAAAATATGGGTTTTATACACACACATATATGTATAATTGTTTAATTTCATTTTTAAATTAAATAATTTTCTTTTAAGTATAATATATAAATGTTCCTTAAGAGCTTAAATACCTTGTGATACAATAAAATATGTGCACAAAATACACACAGTTATTGGTAGAAAAGTTGTAGTATTTTTTCAGTGAGATTCACACAATTGGGATATTTAAGATATCAGTAGTTTTTGGAAAGTAAATTCCCTTATTGATGCCGAATGAATTCTGGTATTTATCGAGGTAAAAATGTTGTAATCTTTTGCCATTAATTATGTACCAAGCGATTTTTAACGCGATTTTATCATTATTTTGAAAATTATACTCTCTTACATTTCTGCCTTGGTGGTTGCAGTGGATGTCCGCTTTTAAAGCACCATCCTGCAGGAAAAATATCTCGAGAATCGTAACGGCACCAATAATCAAAAGCACCACGCCAGCCATCAAATGAAATATGTATCATATCATCTTTAATGGCACCGATTGTTGCAGTACATATAAGTTGTGGATTTTTCTTATCTATTGCTTCTAACTTATATCCGACTTCGAACAAATTGGAACGTGGTGTCTTTGGTTCACGTTTGAAAACTTTTCCTGGTGCCATTTCAGCACCATTTAATGTTTTCAAGAGAAACATTGGCCAACTTGACGCATTCATTCGGAAGCCTAACGGTGGTTGAAGCATTCCACCAGATTTCTCACAATGCCCAATCGGATGAATCTCATTACTGTCGACCAAGCGCCAGAAATCATTTTTATTATCAGATCCATCTAATCTTAATCTCAGTCGAGCTCCAAGAACACCTACTACAGTAGCAATGCAAGTTGATGTTACATTTCGCGGGTCTAGTGCTTCCAATTTCATATTAATTTTAAATTCATTCGTCGGTGGAACTTCATGCTGAAATAAAAACGTATAATCAATAGTATCCTATCATGAATATTGTTTCATGTTCATAACACAATATTGTATAAGATAGGAACATAGAATAAGAAAAACAAAGATTCATTCTATCTTTTATACTTTACATTAGACAAATAAAGTTCAGAATTAGATAAGTTATATTATATCTTTCAAGTTAAATCATACTTGTTTGAAGCATTCAGCTGGAGCTGCTTTACTGTTTGTCTCTTTTAAATAATTATCCCAATCAAAAGTTTGAAAAGTCTCATACTGAAATGGCCCATTGGATGTTGATGGTGAATTAGATACAGTTGTCTGATTATTTGTGCTGGTAGTATAAGACTGTGTAATAGATGGTTTGACATCATTAGTTGGTAATCCAGATGGAGCAGGAGATGGTACCGGTGAAGATGGATCCCTGTTGTCTATAAATTCAATATCTTTTAATAATGTGAAACAAAAATATCTATTTTTGGATTTAAGTAAGACATCTGGTTTCTTACTTTTCTTTATATCTGTTTGACTGTCTTTTTTCTGATAAGCATTTAAACATGCTGTACAACAAAAATCCTTTTTTGAGCCATCTTTCTGTTCCAATTTAACTGGTGTATTTCTAATTAAACTTTCACATTGTGCACATGCACCTCGTGCAAAACTTTTACGAGATTCAGATAAACATGTCTCCGAACAGAATTCCTTCTTGCCATGTTGCGTAGGAAGAACATATTTCAACGGTTGTTTAGTTTCACCGCACCATGTACAGCTGTTCTTCGACTTTGGTGGTCTTCCTGGACCTACCGAAAGAGATGGTCTTTTAATAACATTTTCATGAATTCTCCTTCATGTATTATCACTCATAATTTAAATGCAACTGAATGTGCAAAGTAATGATTAGACATGTCAAAATATAAAAAACATGCTAAATTAAACTATAATCTTACAAGGTTATTTTTACTAACGATTTTTACCTCGCATTTTACTCGGCGTGGACGACATATTCCGTCATACAAATAAAAATCAGCAGTGAAGTCACCGTAATAGTTAATTAGCACGATGAATACATCATTGAAATTAATTTATCGAAATAAATTCGAAGCCAAGATTCGTCGCACAACCGAGGTCGTGCTGTAAGTCAAAACGTACAAAGACTAATTAAAGATAGTATTAATACTCGTGCACAATACAAAATTGGTTCATATATCCCGTTATTCACTGCAATTCACTTTATCACTGCGGTAATTGTACTCTAGTAATTACAGTAATATATGTAGACATATATATATCACGCATTAAAAATTATTGTGTCAATCCGCCATATTGCTTCAATTTGGCCGCGCAATCTGCAAACAAGAGTCGTGAACGCAGTAAGCAACGGACGGTTTCATGTAATCGTATGCATCAGCGCTGTATACGCTCTGTCGTATACTTTGTTGACAGTTGGTATTGAATATATAAAAATGTAGCATTAAAAGGTAACTGTTAATCCCTCCCCCTACTTGTTAGGTAATTTAATAAAAAAATAACATTCCACTTTTATGTCATGGATTAAATGTATATCAAGTTTAATTGTAATTTTTAAATGTTTACATACGGCATAAAATCGGTTTCTCAATTTCTCTATCAATTTAGTCATTTTGCACTTTTTACATCTGAAGAGAAACAATTATCTATAAAAATACGTGAATTAATAAGATGAAAGTAATAAATGCGGAAACTGGAGCTGAAATAAACAAATTTTATGTTAGATCAATTAATATATCACAAGGATTGTGGAGAGAATTAGCAGATAATAATAAAATGTAGAGAAAGTGCAGAGAGTGTAGCTGAAAAGATGGTTCTTTTCAAAGAATACCCATCTAGTAACAAGAAAGTATTTATGTGTATCCTGCAGCATATAAAATGTATAAATGCGTGTTAAAATATTTACGCAAAATTAATAAAACGTTTACAGAAGCAAATGAATGAAAATTGTTCGTAAAAATGTTATTTTATGTTAACGAAATCATTTCGAACCGAACTAAAATGGTGAAGTCCCTAGTAGAGGTATTAAGCTGTTTATCAGTGTCAAATCTAGTAACCAACTGATTCAAGGATGTTATGGCTGCAATTTTAAAGTTTGGAACGGTGCTGGTCAGCCGGCAAATTATTCCGAAAGGTATTTAACAATATTTAAGATACTATATTATGTCACACATTGTAATAAAAGTATTTGCATCATGTTGATCTTTGTAATTTCAGCTAGTACTAGCAAAATGCATAATCAATGAGATATAATATATAGATATAAATAGAAATATCGTTTGCAAGGTTATGTCACAATATACAGCATGTGTAATATGTTTATTATATTGTATGTTTATTTTTGTGGCAGGTCCGACAAGTACTCATCGAATTGTTACAATGTCTCAATTGTTGGACCAAGTGACAGATGTGGACATTGACGGTCATGGAAGATTTAAATACATCTTGATCAATGTGAAAGATAAAACCAACGATGTTAGTAAGCCAATTGTCAGAGGATATACAAGAGCGCAGTGGCATGGTAAGTCTGTGATACATTCATTCAGTATATCTTACCATGCGTACCTGATTATTATTTTGAAATGCTTAAAGTTTGATATACTACACACAATGTTGTGCTCCAATATATAAAATTAGTTGTGTTTTAACCATATGAAATATATAATACATCTGAAAATAAAAGCAGTATTGTGTACTTGTCAAATTCACATATGTGATATAAACAATAATAATTAGGATCTTGATTTACATTTGTGATATGTTCTATTATGAAGAGTATAAGACTGTCTTATAAAACTTGCTGTATAAATTCTTGCATACTTATGCATTTATTATTTACAATGCTAAAGATACAATCTGTACATCTTTACATATTTTCATTATAAGTAAAGAAGCAGTAAAGGTATATTTATGGTATATGTGTGTGTTAATATCGTTTTATTTAAAAATTATTATCATGATATATCTCTGTCATTAATTTGCACCTTGGTTGATTATTCTTCAGTGATCAGTCAATAGATACTTATTCGTAAATGAAAGAATATAATTATGTAGAATATTTCATCATTACTGGATGAAATATTAAAGATATAAATTCTCTAATGTGTTTGAATCTAATTTAAAAATTGTAAGGTCTTTGTACATAAAGCAATAGATACATGTCAATAGATGCAATATCGACTTTCAAGATTCACAGTGGAAATTTGAAAACGTACTCTTGCATTTTTATATACAAAATATTTAATTTCCATTATGTCTATCAAAATATTGATTGAGATCACAGTTTCTTATTAAAAATTTTAATCAAGAAGTCGACTTTGTAATTCTTAAGAGATATATCGTTAAAATTTTATCCAGTAATAGCAGAACAACTTATATATCGATTATCATAATAAAAAATAGGTATCTACCTCTTTGAAAAAATATATTTGATATTTTTAATTCGGTATGTGTTATTTTTGTGTATAGACGTTTCTGGTAAATTTGTAGTTTTATAGATAAGATAAGAATGAATACTCGTTCCGCTCATTTCTTATGTGTTCCCGAAATTAATGCAAACGCTGAATTTGGTTACTATGTAACCAAGTAAGGTAAATGACTACGGTGGCAGTAGGAGATTTTTCATATATTAGATGATGAGGGAGATATTTTATAAACGCAAAGGAAGCTCCATGCGATTTACATTGATAAAGCTTTTAGACAATCAGCCATAATTTTCTTAGGCTATAAGAATATATTACATATATCACCACAGCATTATCCAGCAGTGTAAATAATATACAGGAATATATGCTTCTCGAGAGATTATTTCTCTTTTCGCGTAGTAAAAGTTTCAAACGGGAGATCTGCGATAAATCATTTTTCGATTGAATTTGCTTTCTCTCATGCTGAATACGACTTCCACATGATACGTCAAACAGCTTGTAACGTCACACACTTAATTATAACGATGACACTCATTGAAATGTTCCTTTTTTATCGAGAGCATTCAAATCCCGTTGTGATTTGTACGACAACTCACGAGAGACGAACGCGTAACGTAACATAACGTTTCGTCGCTTCATGAAATACTTCACGAAATACTATTGCTCAATTATGTAGCCGTATATAGTCTCGTTTCCGTAAAGTTTTCTCCGGTCGTTCGTTCGTTTTCTGAGAGAGATTCACACGATTCATTGATTTTCGGGAATTTGTCTTCCTGTTTTCTCGAAACATGCGTGATCTATATATATTTACAACGAAAAACTATCAGTTCTAGTGAAAATTGACAGATTGCGTTACGCACACTGTTTGTTTTCTTATTCCTTACATACGTATGTTATGCGACCTTCGCATATCCATATCTATATATTTCTCTGTGAAAAGATAGAAGGAATTACGACGAGACGAGACGGCGGTAGCAAATGCTACTAAGGACCGTCACACTCTGGTGCTCTGTGAAGGAGGTTTCTATTCGTTTACTAAGAGGCTCTTCTGAAACAGCACCAGGCTCTCTGGATGCTGACACTGAGTCTGCAAGCTTTGTGATTCGAATTCTTGATGGTCTTCGTATCGCTATTCTTTCTGACAGACGGCCGCGATGTCTCGTCGCCTCGTTGCGCCCGCTCTCAGGTGCTGTCGCTTTCGTCGCAATGCTCTATCAAGTCTACATCGGTCACCCTCGATTCTTTCTCCTGCTCTTTAATGGCTTCCAGTTTGTTCTCCTTCTTCCTGTGGCTATTGCCGTCCGACTTGCTCGATTTCTCCGTGATCTCATCCGCGCCTTTGCCAAGTTGCTTCGGCAGTTCTCGAATGGGAGATGGGAATCCCACGAGATCTGGATCCGTATTACTGTGCATCAATGTAAACGGCAGCTTCAAAGACACTTCACCGCCCATTGCAGAGATCAACAGTTTGATCTGAAATAAATGACAAGTTCCTTATCTAAGCGAAACGGAAGATAATTTTCTTTTATGGTAAAAAATCAGACAAATTAAATTTTCTCTTAAAATCGCGTATCTTATTTATGGGGGTTTAATAATCAAGACATTTTGGGAACTCTCTTTTGTATACCAAAGAAAGTATTTCTCTTTATATCGCAACAATGCTTTCTCCTGCAACGATTGGCATAATTTCCCGAGCTTTAAAGTTTGTTTATTTCAGTTCAGAGATACACGCATTCAACGCAGTTCCCGTGTTATGTTTCACATCTTCTTCGTGTCTAAAATTACCTTCACGTAATAAGAAACGTAAATTGCAAAGACGTTTCTATCGTCGGGTCCGTTCCCGGGACAGACGACCGTTGATGCCAAGGTTGCACCAGTTTTCGTATAGCTGTCCTCCAAGGCGATCCAATTCTTGGTCGAACCCTTAATAGGCCTGAGAGTGTAGCTCTTTATTAAAGTACCACCCGATCCCACGGGACAGCCTTCTTGTGAGGACACGAGGGCCACGACGTTTTTGAATTTACCGTTGCTGAACATACAAACATCCACGTGCTGCACGACAAATACCTAAAAAAGATATCTCTATATAGTAATGAGTCTGCGATGTGTTCGATAGGAGCAGCGGGTTACGAAATGACCGTCAAATTAATATCCGTAGCTGCAAACGTAAGTTATTCATTGTAAAGTCGAATTTTTGCAATGGCGAAGCTGTCGCGTCGTCAAAAATCCACGACTCCGTGTGAACGATTTGTCAGCGGCGATCAAATTTCGCAACATTTCTCGCTCACATGCCGCATCTTTTTCAGCGGTCAAGCGCAATTATTTAGAATAATTTTCTAGGATCTAGGTTCCTCGAAGGGAGAAGGAAGAGAAAACCGCGTCTCGCGGATTGTGGCATCTTGTTCGTTCGAGAGGGTGACTTTTATTCAAACGACGCTTCTCCGGCAAGCTTTGTCAAATGAACAGACGTGTGTGTACATACATGTAGATAACTAGATTGTCATTCGTTAAAGCCGATTGTTAGCGCGACCGAATCTGCTGTTGCTGATTATTGGCTGCTGCGAACTTAAATTTGATTACGAAAGATAACTCGTGCAACTTATAGGCGGGAACGATGGGGCGACGGTTTGTTTGCTGAACTGTCGCAACAAAGTTAACACAGGGTGTTACGAACGCGCCTGTCCTTTCTGGCCGGTGGACAGGATATCGGCAAGATGGCACGTCCCTATTTTCGAACAATGTTCTCTGTCGCTGTTAATGAAGCGCGGCTCAAAAGCGCCCGATACGAACGCAATTTCCCGTTACGATATAACCTCGGTATCCCCCATCGACTGCTTTCACCTCGAAGGAGGCGTTCGTGTGTATTTAACTTGCGATCGTAAGAACGAAATGCCAAACCCGAATCAGCGCGGATAATCGCGGATTCAATTTAACGCGTAAGCGCGCGAACCGCGCGCTCTTTGCCAGTTGTACTTCTCGCGTGCGCAAAGCAAATTGAATTATAACTCCACAATTCCAGCATGTCGGCGCTGGCGTTTCTCCTTTCGTGGCTTCGAGATAGATAGTGGCTTTGAGCGGGAAAATAGCTCCTGTCGATTCCTGTCCGTCGTCGTCGGGAAAATCATCGATATCGCTTGCGCGTTATTGTTCCTCCTCCGCGAGGAAACGAGATACGAGCTCGGGGACCGATTTGGAATATCGTTATTTTTTATCGATGCGAAATAGATCGCTCGTCAGACACTTCGATCGTGACGGCCGTCTAATCTGTTCCTTCCTGCGGCGGCTGTTACAATCTTCCGAAGATTCACGCGCGTTTGATGCTGCTTCGACATCAAATCTCATCGCTCGGGACGTCCAAATGATATAAGAGAAGAACGCGTTCGTGTCGTTCATCCAGATTTGCGCTTGCATAATTCGTAGGGAAAGGTGCAACATCATATACATTTATTTGTTGGTCTGGGGAGTGACAAAGTTTTTTTAGAATTTGCTCTCAAAGAAACAAGCTCATATCTGTATCCTTAATTCTCGTTATTTTCATCACCTAAATAAATTATGACAGTTTATTGGCTTGCTCACGCATGCATAGAATATTTCACTAGACACGCGAAAGGGCGCCATGAATTCCTGAGTGAGACGAGTAGTGAGTCGTGACAGACGCGCGCAATGCGCGGTCATGAGGCACCTCTTGGACTTCACCTCGACGGTTGTAGCACAAGTGCGACTGGTCCCGTAAAGTTGCACTTGATACGCGAGATGATAATTCGCCAGGTTATCAGACCGAAACGTAAGCCTGCAGCTATATTACGCCGGTAAACGCATAATTCACAAACTACTCGCGAGCCGAGCCGCGTTCGCAACCACGCGGAATCGTATTTTCCAAGTATTCGCATTGAAGTTCACGGGGGAGAAGCTTGTGAGAAGTTACGGAGTTGTATCTTCAGTGGTGAATAAATTTTACGCCCAGTTATGTTACGATACCTTCAAACTGGGTTCGCGATTGTAGATCTTGCGATCGAATCTTCTTGCTCTCCGCAGATCTCTCGCAACAGCGATACTTTTCTATCGAGTAGCGCCCACGTGCTGTGTTCAGACTCCAAAGTTCGAGTTTGTACACAGCACATTTATTCCCTAAGCGATGAACGATTTTGCCTTCTGGTTTATTTATGAAGTGGCAAATACGTAAGGTTATATTTCTTTGCTGAGGCAAATCACTTACGATAGCTTCGACTTGCGTGCTTTAGCTTGTTTATATAGAAATTATTATTTTTCGCAATATTTATTTACCAAGTGCGTTATTGATTAGTTTTTTTGTCTTTAATTGATCGTGTCGCACATTATAGATACGCTCACGGGCGTTCTTGAAGAGCTCACCTTGAACTTCTCCCTCGAAATTGCTGCTTTGAATTGATCAATATTCCGCGGGCCAACGATCGCTGCGAGTGTAGTCTCGCGTCTCCGCTTTACTGACGGCTCTTCTTCTTAAACCTCGATTTGAGACGACCCACTTATCGACATACGTTGACGATAGAATCCTTTCAATTATTCCGTCACGCATTATTCACATGCTGAACACGTCGTATCTCCTCCAACATATCGTTTATCTTTATGAAAATATCTTATCTTTGCGGGACTGGATATTTTTTCGCTTTCGGTTGAAAGTTTATCAATGTTTATCGATGTGCGAATCTCGAGATCTCCTGAGATATCATACTCGTGAGAGTAAGGTCTCTTTTCTCCGATCAACGACGCTCTCTCGCATTTTCCGCGTTGCGGCGAGGCACAGCTGCGCTGTGTTTATCGCGCGACATTTAACTCTTGACGTTCAACTCTCTGGGGACGATTATTCGCGCTGTTCTAACAGCCTGTAGGTGGTGAAGGAAAAACAGCAGATAAAGAAGCCGAGAGGAGAGAGATACAAAAATGTATGCGCTGATAGAATTAGCTCGGTTTCATACACTCCATTTAACGCACCTAAGTGAACTTTCCCGACGTATTGTCATTAAAATTGTCGCGAAAGTAAAAAGAAAGTTATTTGACGTAATATTAATAATGTGTTACACTCGTGGAGCGACTCGTATTGTTTTTTTTACGATATCGCCATGAAATCCGATGTCGTGTAACACAATCATTATATTTGTTATACTGACCAAAAAAATACTTGCTTACCTCATCTTTCTAAAGAAAATTACAAATTCTCACAAATTTCGCGTATGGCTTATTATTTGTAGACACGTAAATTTATCTCGTTAAATCGCCGCGATTGGACGCGATTTGATTTATTACCTGTTGAAGATCGGTTGCAAGATCGTTTTAATTTACCTAGGCGAAAAGCGTTAGCACGAGGACTGGCTATTCATCAAGTTTGTACACACGCCATACGAACGTCGGTGTTCTTATTAAGACGTTGAAGCAGTCTCATTGAGATCAACTGTGCCCGTGGGATGTGAACGTTCTAACGAGCTTATTAAATTTACGGAAGTCCAACGAGAGACGATGGCCAACTCGAAGTTGAGAGTAATACCATTATTTCTCGGATAATTAATAGATGAGTCTAGCGAAGACTGCAAAAGTCTACCTAAAATCACGCTTATTAATTAACGCCGCAATCGACACGGGAAATTCGGTGGATCACAATACACGCGACGCGGATTCACCATTGTGAATGGAAGAATAAAGGAAATATGATGAAATGAGATCCTAGATAATAAAGCTACAGAGCTGAAGCTTCGTGAGAAAATTGGCATGCCGAAATTGGAGAAGTAATTCGCCATTGCGCAAACTTTGTTTTTCCCAAAGATATCAGGACTTAAAGCGGAACACCCGCTTAACGACACCGGCTCACCGATTGAAAAATGCTCGACTTGAGATTTCTCGATGGGCCAATTTCGACAACTCGCCTGGGACTTTAGGAACCTGGAATAAATTTTGGCGGGTCGGGGCGACGCGTCGGGACAGTTTCATAACTCGCTCGAGGTTTTTCACGTGAGATACGCCATCCAGATACGCAACCTCGTCGAGAAACCGCATCGATTGAATAAAGAACCGTATCGATTGATCTCACCCTCGCCCTCGTCTCGATGGACACTTGAGTTTGTTTTTCTACCCTCCTCCGCCTGGTCTGCCGGTTTCGTCGCGAAGAATCGCCGTCGATTTTACGAGCAGCCTTTTTTACACCTCGGCATCAGACGTTATGCGAGAGAAAGGGGGAGAAAAGGAGTAAAAGCGAATGGACGAAATGAAAAAGAATTGTGCACGTTCTATAAGAACGAGAAAGAGAGAGAGAGAGAGAGAGAGAGAGAGAGAGAGAGAGAGAGAGAGAGAGAGAGAGAGAGAGACAAAGGAGAGGAAAGAGAGAAAAGGAGAAAAGCTGGCAGACGACCCGAGTCATGAATATCCAAAGCGTTCGAATCCCTGAGGAATGTCGAAAAAGCAGCCGCTGGCGGGATACACGATCGGAGAGGCGTTCTTTGAAATATTGAGTGCCACCGGCGGGCCGCCGAATTACGAACGGCTCGTTCTACGAGCGAGGAGTACAATTTTGTGCCCATTTCGAGCACGGCTGCGATTGATCACTTTTGGGAAAAAAGAGCCAGATTGATTGTCCGATTGTGTCGGAAAGCTATGAAATCGTTAGATTGTGCGCACGCGATAGACAGCCTTTCCGTAGAGTGGAGAGTGGAATGTTTTCTAATTAAATTTGGACTTGACGAAAGATCGATGATCGAGATGCACGGTGTCACATTAAACTACAATTATTAGGGAAAAAATGAATTTTCGATGAAAGCTCAATTTACATGAAATCCAATTCTTCATATGACGAATCGTTTCTATCCTTATTTTATTTTTTTCTGTACATATCAATATTCAGTTTTGATTGGAAAAATGCCTTTTCTCGTTTTATTTATTCGCATAGTCGAGCGATTAAAATGTAGGATGAAACAGTGCATGCAGAAAAATTCATTGTTCAGTTCCTGCCTTTCAGTACGTTCAGTACGACTTCTTTTCTGCGCGTCCAGTCACATGTTGTTTAACTCTAAAACTTGTATCTCACGATATCACGATTCATCAGTAATAATGTGGCGTGTAATCCCATAAAAGTACGATAGAGATTTCGTCAGATGAGGTATAAAACTTTGCTCATGCTCGTATCTCGTCGGTACTTCAAATAAGTTTGAACAAGCAATCTATACAGTTGCCGTTGAGATTTGCCGTTGTATTCTTTGCCGTTAATATTCATTATGTACGTCTAATTAAATGCTCGACGCGAAGCCAAATGAAAACGGATACAGCTATGTGAAGAGGTGAATTATATACCTTTATCCTCCTTACGGACTTGCTGCTGTTATTGCTGACGTAGAGATGGACAGTGATTGAGTCCCCGTGAGCGTAGATTGCACGATCTAGTTTCGCTTCCAACCCGACGCGACCATCGCTTAGTAAAAATGGTTTCTCCACGGCTGCATGTGGTCCCACGTTCTCTGCGAAAAAGCGACACGCTGTGTCTCATCCATTTCGATTCGTATCCCGCCTTTGCAATAAATGCGACCAGATAGATCTGTTAACGGAACTTATAGGGGCGTTTCAGCGGCTTTGCGCCAAACTCGAGAAGCGTATTGTTCGAGAATTTGTTGTCACAAATTCTGTGCATAACAGTGCAGCGATTCATCGGAAATTAAAGAGCCGCGATGGATGATATGCAACAAGTAAGAAATTTGAAAATGAAATATTACCTTAATTTAATTATTCTCAGGGGGGGGGGAAGGCGACTTTTATTCAAGCATCTAATTTTCAGCCTTTATTATCTAGATATTCTATTTTTCTCGTGTTTTTTCGCTAATCTTTATTTAAAGATTGCGCAATGTTACGAAGAGAAAAATAAGCAGTTTCGGCTAAAAAATGATCACTTTTACTCTCCTAGGTTTTGCTTCTTTAGTTTGTTGCAAAACCTTTGGAATGCCCAACATTATCCGACTGTTATCGACGCTACAAGTAGTTGGTGCGCAACAGTTAAGCTTTAAGCATAGTCTAAACTTGAGTACGTCTAAATGATCGAGTATATCATATTTATCGCGACCAACCGTCATCCTCGATGATCTCATTTTCGGTGGATTCCACTCTTGTTTTGCATGCTTGGATTCTCGAGGGAATCGATAGCACTTGAAAGGGAGGCACGCTGTACATAGTCGTGGAGGGTAAAGGCGGTTTCGTGGTTCGCTGGATTACTCGAATACCCATTCTGACGGTGGTTTTACGGTGCAATCTTTCGTCCGCCCGTTCCGCTAAAATCCGCCGCACAAAACATTAATGACTCAAAGGACGCAATAAAGACGAAAGCTGGTGCTAAACGCAAGTTAAATTACGGGTTCACCGTCATGGATAATTGAGCGAGTCTCTTTTGAGAAGGACAACCGCTTTTGAGTCTTTATTACACGAGTTTCTCGAACTTGAGAATTATTTATTCGCGGAGAAATAAGATTGGCCGTAATGAACCCGAGATTGGTATATAAAGATCCGTCTCTTTGTCTATTTATGAAAAAAGTTGGGCAAACGCATATATATAATGTGAAGTCTGATAAATAATTAAAGTTTATCGTACAATAAAAGCTATTCGAGTTGACTGTGCTGGAAACAAAAGAGCTGCGGAAAGATCTTTTTCATGTCTTTCTCGTGATGAATTTATGAAGATATCCTTATCCCGTTCTCGGCTGAAACTTTACAATTATAAAACAAGTAGAAAAATGTCAAAAGGACGCAAGACACACCCGACGGAGACAACTGTACAGTCGCTTAATCAAACTACCGTTTCCCGACAAGGATACTTTTAACGCTTTAAATGCTTAAATACTTTAAAAGGATACTGTAAACTTCGTTTGCGCTTAAAAGTGGTTCTTCACGATTAGAAGTATATTCTTGCAATTTTCTATTTTATTCGCACGTCACTTACTCTGACTGCTCTCGCTTTCGTGTTATTTACCGTGTTTTATTATCCCCCGCTCGATCAAAGTGCGTTTATCAGGTTCGGAGTGGAGGGTGGAGAAGAAAGAAAAATGAAATCAGCAGGTCTTTCCACTCACCGACGTAAGCTCTGACGTCGTAACTAGTGCCTATAGGCGCACCGTTGTACTCCTTAGCTGGTACCAGTTGCACAGACGGTGGAGCCAGCGGCGTAATTTCCATGGTGAAAGCGTGGGCGTTTGGCCCTAGTCTCTTGACGAGTGCCTCCTGCAAAAAAGATGTCGGTTTTTTTTTTCGCTCTTACCCTCGAAGATAGTGTCAGCTGTCCGAGATTGCATACGGAGTGCTTCTTCGTGATATAATAATTCTTACGGCTTTCGTGCAGATTGAGTCGACCGTTGGGGAGAGCGACTCGACTCGATCGATTCGAGTATCACGAGAACGTTTTAATCGCTCTCATTTGTTTAGGTTTAGGTATAAAATGGCAGAAAAAGATCGTGAAAAGAATATCAGCGGGAACATTTATACGTCTTACAGGCAGCGTTCTTGAGAAGTGTGATTTCTTCACATTTTATCGTAATTATTGGGGAAATAAATGTACGAGATTTTTTTTTTTTTTTCTTTACGTGCGAGACACAGCGGATTTATCTGCATCGAATGTAGTTGACGATCGACGTCGGTGGTTGGAAATTTCTTGTCTTTGCACTGCAGTTGTATAATTCCACAGGTATTTCATGCGCACTACGAGGTAAATAATACAGCGTTCTAGAAAGTAAATAATACAGCGGAAATGTAAATCCTTCGTACAATTCAATCGCGAAAAGTCTTTAGCTAGGCGTGTGTTTGAAGTGCAGGCGCATGAAAAAAATAAATATTGGTACTTTGCCACGGGTGTTTGTCGATATAAATTTCATTAAATTCGTACGTGTGTATGTGCGCGCGACTTTCACGAATGCGCTGTCGTTTTCATCGATTTTCGATGAGTGTTGATGAAAGCCGATTTTATATCCGCACATGAATACTCGAGTAAATATCAATAAATGTTCTGTTCACTCGAATTCGATCGACGAAAAAGTTAGGAGCTTGTGTGAAGGTTTGTTGGGTTCTCGATAATTTTATTGGCATAAAAGTTATCTCACAGACGCGGCATTAAACGGTTCCCTGAAAGACGATAGAAAGTAGTGGATATTGTAGATATATCTCGAATATGACACATACCGTTTCGTTGATATCGATAAAAGAAATCTGATTAAAAATCCGGCGATATTTTACAAGCTTTTATAATACTACACACGAAGACCGGATATTGTCGCTATATTATTTTCATTATTTTACATGCGATATGGGACTAATCAAATGTCGGAGATATAAATGGGAATAATCTGTTGAAAATTTAATTTTGCGAATCTATCGTGTCGGTATGAACGTATATTGACAGAAGCGCGACAGAAAATCGTTTTGTATTTCGCATCCTCTGCCGAGGACACGGATTGATTTCCAGAGTCACACGGAGGAAATTCTTCGCGCGTGACAATGAGAAATCGTAAACTTTCCGGAGCGCAAGTAACAACGGAACGGGTCTGTGGTGCTTCCAGGTGCCGCGCGATAATAGCTATTCCGGCGTTTCAAGTGCGAAGACTCTTACTCCGAGTCTCCAAAGAAGGACCGTTTGTTCTTCCGATCTCTAAGGGACAATCGTTAGACACGGTTGAGTTACACAGTAGCAAATTTGCAAGTGTAGTGTGATCATCACGATGGTAATCATCTCTCTTCCATGCAGCAGAGCGTGTAACACAAAAGGATGGTTGGTTTGCACGCTCACGTGTCGTCATACGTTTGCGAAACGAACAGCTCCGAAAAGAGAGGCGTTCTCGTCGTTATCGTCTCATCAGACGAGCTTTAACCCTTTCACTGCTGAATTAACTTTCCTTGAGAAAATTATTAAAATATTTGGTAGTCCTACGTTTTTTGGGTCGCTGATTACGAATCTAAAGTCAGATTTGCAAAATTCAAAATGGCGGATTCGATATGGCGATCATGATGTACAAAATTAATGAAAATTCCAATTGTTATTAAATAATGACCAGGTCGTAATAAGAACATATTATTCTAGATGATGGAACTCGAACGAGCTGGAAAAAATTTATGGGAAAATTTATGGGAAAATGTTCAATACTGCATATTTATGTTTACTAGAGATTAAACATTCATTTTTGAGTAAAATAATATTGATAATATGGATAAGAGATGGAGATACAGAATGAAAAAACTAAGAAAATGGAGCTAAAAAGTGCAAAAAAATCAAATTTCAGCCGTTTTTGTAGAAATATTTGTTTATAAAAAAAAATCTAACCTGCAAAAAAATACTGAAAAAATATATGTTTTTGTACAACATCAGAAAAATATTTGGTGAAAATTTCAGACCTCTACCTATTCAATACTCTCCGCCGAGGAATCGATTTTTCCCTAAAAAAAGCACTTTTTTTTAAACTTTGATTTGTTATAAATAATCACAAATGAATAATTGGGTATAAAAACCTATTGGAGTACGTTGAACAACTATTCCAGTTATCTGGAAAACTCAAATCCCCGATTAGTTCTTCAAAATTATATGATTTACGACGCAAAATTGAATCAAGAAAAGGTGGGAAGTATACTTCGCATCAACAGTGAAAGGGTTAAAGAGTTGATAATTCAAGCACGATGAGGGCAAACGACCAGACATTCGCGACGAACAATGATCCTCCTTGATTCTCTCGCCGAGGGAGTGTAATACTCGAAATTCGCGCGTTGGGGAGCAACTTCATCAAACCGGTCGCGGTAATGGGGAGCCGCTCTCGTACGTCTCACCCTCGCGTTTCGTGCGAGTTTCACGACACATGAAAATACATGTCGCGCACGTACATTCGTTCTCGCTTTAAACTCTCCCTCTCCATGACGCTCGGCCTCCCTCCGCGTCCTTCGGAGCGCTACGTGTTGTCTCTACGGAGCACCTGCGCTTGCAGCGATAATTCCGAGCCGCGCGTCGGTGAAAATAGAAGGTACACGCCGGCGTTATCCTGCTCATATCGGCCCAAGGATTCAAGATAGCGGATCGACTCAGTGTATGCGCACATGCGCGTGAAAATGAAACTGTCTCCGCAGGGGGATGATGCGGGCCAGGGTCGGCTACTGTTAGTGAGGTCATATCGCGTCCACGTCATTCCGCTCGATTTTGCATCGAATAGAGTTTAGAGTTTAGAGTTCTTTCAGTTTCTCCGTCGCGACGCTGTCGCGTTCAAGGCGCAGCGTCTTTTGTCTTACCGGCGAGATCTGTGATATCGGGAGGGAAGTACGATGTAAAAATACGTCTGTATGGACATTTAGAGTCCTCGACTGACGAAGGAAGTGGGAATAAGGAATGAGAATTTGCGAATTCTCCGAAAGGAATCACTCTCCGAGGCGTGACCTCGATTTCCTGCGGAAGAATGCAAAGACCCGGGGCATTCACATCGGCATCGTTAATATTTCCGTTGCACGAACATTTCGATCGCTTGTAATTGATTCGCCCGTTTTATTTCGCTATTATCGTGTTTTAGAATCTTCGCGCAATAAGGGAGACGCTCTGGAATGATTATGCCGGTAACAGTTATTCGAACAATCTCGCTTTTCCATCATTCGTACGGCCATAAACTCGGTACCAAATAAAATTCGTCTTTTAAGAACGCTTGAGTTTCTTATCCGATTTGCTCTTAGAGCCAGAAGTATGTCAACAATTCTATAAAATCTCTCGTAAACGGAGATTACTTTCTTACGTCACTTGGTAGTCCGATATATGTATTTGGGTCAGATTTCGTGGTTAGCATTGTGTGTTGTGTGTGCTACATCCTTCAGGATTTCGTATTCAATGAAATGATTCCACCCATCTTCTGTGCTTGTCGGAGAGCGTCATATTGTCATGGAAAAGCATATCTATCTTCAATAGGAGCTTACAGTCGCGAATATAACAATATGTAATGGCATAAATCTTTCTGCATACTCTGCAATTGTATTTCGTGATACGACTTTGGAAAATATCATTCTAGAAGATAAACGACGAGTAAAACAACGTGCAACTAAATATTGACATTTTTTTTCCAAAACGTGCACACGTTTTGTCACTTTCACATTATTATTCAGTAGTCAGAGTTTTCGTTGGCATAAGAAAACATTAATACTATTAGTCCTAATGAGTATCCGAGCTGTTGGATTACGACGTATTAGCATAATTATATCTGATTTGATTGGGAGAGAACGAAGCGTTAATGATATCTCGATATTATTCCGTGATCATAACTTTGAGAGTCAGAAAATATATTTATAAATAAAATTAATGTTTACCATGAAAATACGAAGATACAAAAACATACGAATTAATTTTATTCTCTCTCTCTCTCTCTCTCTCTCTCTCTCTCTCTCTCTCTCTCTCTTTCAATAATCTCGATAATTAAACATCGTCATTTCAATATGGAAAAATATATATTCATCAGTTTTTATCACTCAATCTTACTTAATTTGTACCTTTTCCCGTCCTGTTTGACGGATCAACTAAGAAAAAAGAAAACAAAGTAAAAATCTTTGACATGTACTATGTATATGGTGCCCGTGTTTTTCGGGAATATTTTTTTTTCGCGCATGACAGAACGTTGCTAACTGCAATTTATTCTTTTGGCCCGCCAACCTACCCAGTGCGTGCAGATGTGAATGCTGAGCGATGTGCACGTTGGATTTGTGGCTCTTTGATGTTCAACGCGATGCCAAATCTTCTTTTTTTACTTTTTTTATTAAAATTGTTTAACAATACATACTACAAGGAGATACATTTTCTACGCGTCTCTTGGCATCATTTTCATGTGTCTTCACTCGCGTGCGCTCGATTCTTTTCAATCATTTTAACGCGATTTGATCTTTGAAATTCCATCGCGCTAATTCTCTCCCGACGTGTCGCGCGAATTACGCTTGCCATTTAGGCACCGGAGCGTAAAGTTTTATATCTCCGATATTTCTGAAGTGTGCCTTCATTCGTCCGATGTATCCCGTAGCATTTTCCACGCGCGTTACGTTTATCTCCGGATCGATGGCAGAGTGTCGTTTTCCGTAATTCACGCTCGACGGACGCCGCATTGAAACGTATATCTTGAAACCGCTGTCAAATGCTCGCGAAAGAAAGGTGAGGCGCAATAAATAATTTCCGTTCCGCGGCTACCTGCGAGACCTTCTGTCGTTAGGTCGGGGTCATGGTCACGTTCTCGCGAGGACGGTTTTGTCGTGTGTACTCGAGCCTTTGTTGAGGATTTCAAAATTTTCTCGGTCGGCAAATATAGGCTCTTGCCCGTTCTCTTCCAACGAAAATTCAGCCGTATTGTTACGGCATTATCGATCGGCAGTGGCTTCCGATACTATGTAACTTTTCGAAAGACCGCTGTATGTTTCTGTGTGTATACATCCTGCTTCTTTATTATTTGAAAAACCGTGTGCATTATCGTTCCGATAATAATTATGTGATATTTTACAATATTGCGTATTAGTGCGCTATTTAGAAAGTAATAAAATCAGTAGATCTCATTCAATTGTATTATATATAATGGTAATACGATATTACTGATATATTATAATTGTATCGACGTGTAATAATAATCAGGTACAAGGCTAAATTTAATTATATTCGTGAGTAAATTGGCAAGAAATATTTTGAATTGAATATATACGGATACTATTGTGAGAAAATTACATTTACATGTGTCTTGTTAAAGCTATGTAAAATATTTTTCTCCTTGCAATGTTGCCATACGGTCGAGTGCGCGCTTGGAAAGAATTCCGTATAATATTGTATTTTTCTCGGATGTACGAGTAAAGACAATTTGCAATTTTCTCGCGTCTTCGCCGTCCACAAGAAGTACCAGCAGCTCCTTCGCGTATCGTGCACGAGTTACGCGCCGCATATTTGATCTCATCGAAGCTTTACACGCTACATTTCTTCGTTTGTTAGTGGCCTGGTAATCTCGTCGAGCATACTTGCATTGGGAAAATGGAAGCTTTTAATTTAATTTATTCTACATCAATGTACATCGATGTTTGCATTGCAAAGGATATATCGCGTGAATGCACAATTTATGAATATCGCGATGATTGCCATTTTCTCATTCACGATACGTAGGAAATTAACATAAAATCGGCGAGGAAAATGTCCAAAGAGAAAAAAGAAGCTTACATTGTCTATACGTGAGAATATACCATGATTGATTGATGACTGATTAATAAATAGCGCGCGTTCTCCTGTTCGCATATTTCATGCACGAATTTATCTTTTATTTAATATCCGCGCGAATAATATCAGGTTTTACGCTGCGGATGATTTTTGCTTTCAGTTTATTACTTAGTGCAGTAAAGGAGCATGTTCGTCGTAATTGTGTTACCGTGAGGCAAGATCACGTTAGTTCTTTTAAAGAGGAACTTTACTCATGTCGGTGCGCTATTAATATGCCTTACGGTGGAACATCACTTTAGCGCTATTAAAGTTGTAGTCATGTCATGAAATTTATTTGACTGTCGACGCTGTGTTTGTACTTTTAGGATTTTATATTCAATAAATTTGGATATTTAAGTCGAGGTGGCGGCGAAGACACGCTTTCATTGTTTTTCGCGTTACGTGTATTAATTTTCTTTGATCTGAATTAACGCGTGACAACTTGACGAGTTTAAAGCTTGACAGTTTAAATCGAAATCACATTTCATCGATTTCACGAGAGAGAGAGAGAGAGAGAGAGAGAGAGACGTTCCGGTACGCTGAAAAATCTAGATAGAGATTTTTGTCATGGTTCTCTTATCCGTAAACTTATCGTAGCAATCTCTTTTGCGCTTCATCCGCGAAGAGAATTTTTCACGGAGTTCCAACATCGATTACATTATAGGTCTTCACGAAGGTTCTCCATTTTCTCTGAGAATTTCGGTCTACCTCAACATTTCACTCTGCTGTGTTGCGGCCCCTAGGAAAAATTCACAGTGCTTTCTATACGAATGATACATGTCTTCGTTGATAAACAATAATCAAAAGACTTAATTTGTCGCGTCGTAACGCTCGAAACGCGATAAACTCAACGCCGCTGTTGAGGTTGCAGAATCGAGGCTCCGTTTCATCCCTTCTATGCTACGATAATTTCAATCGTCCGTACATCGATAATTCGCCTAATTGAGATAGTTCATTATCGACTCTGTGCGAAAATGAAATTCAGACGCAGTTAGGAAGGCTGTATTATCGAGATTGCCGGTGCACGTCGGTTATCGATGCATCGTCGTGGTTCGTCAAAGACTATGAGGATTGCGTTATTGCGGTATCAGGACTCGCAAATTTACCGTGATGAATTCTTTCATCACTTTTGATGCTCATAATATGAGACCTGCTTGATCCAACACCTACATATTATATGCCTTACGGTGGCTTAAAATCCCTTTATCGCTATTAAAGTTACAGTCACAATACGTAGACACGCTCTAATTTTTGCAAGTAATTTTCACAGTTGCAAGATAATCTCATTTTGTATCGAGAAACAAAAGCGGAGTTTATTGTTCATATATATATATATATATATATAGCAAAAATTATTAGCGTCAAGCATTAACGAGCAAACTTTATTCTCGCTTCCCGCGATCTAAACAAACTCGTCAACAGGAATTAATTAGTTAAATTTCTACGAACTGAGATTGGATCTGTTTGCGGCGGTACAACAAACATATCTGCCTTTCATTTTTCACCTTCGCATGTGTCTTTTTTCTTGCCACTTAACCACGTTCGTTATACCGCACTGCCACGCGCGCGCGCGAGGTTGGTTTAAGCGTAAAATTATTTTCGCTTTCTTGCGCGTTGCGGCCGAATAAATTTCAGGATGTCACGGTATAATCAGCGACGCCTTTGTGCCCGAATTCCAAGTTTTATGATCGTGTGCCACTGAATCTCGCCCGGGACCGGTTACGCGTGCGATTTGTGCGCCTATAAAAACCAGACGCGGCGAGGAAATAACTGCGAGAAGTCGTTTGAAGTCGCGAGGTTTAATCGACGGCTCGGTGAAATAATTCCGCGCGTGCTCGATACGATACGGTACGCGCTCCGTTGCTCAATTTACCGCTGTGTACCCGTTGCGATCCGTATGACGGCTGTCGACCGGTCTTTCAAGCGCGAATAGAAACTCGGGCGAGTTTAGTTTTTCGCTCCGTTTCGACACGGCGACACAATTATCGCGCACTGCATTCGTCGCGATTAAACGATCGTGGCTTTTTTTGACTTTTCTTTGTCGCTATCATGACGAGCCGAACTCGTCGCGCTGATGGATATAACGAGTTCCAAACTCTGCTTTCCGCGCCCTTTGTCTAAGGAAGATGATTATCACTCTCGTGTTGAGCTACCACCGGTGCGACGGTATAATGAAGATATAATCGGATTTGCGGCCACGGAAATCCATTTATCATTTCATCGCCTCTGGTCCTTCTTACGAGGTACTTAAGGATTATCAATATCTCCTGGCGCCGGGATACCCCGTAGATTTGATTAGATCCAATATTCCGTTGTTCGAGATATATCGCCGCGAAATTGCGATGCAGCGCGCCGCGAAATTCGGAACGCTCGAAATCTACGGCCGCGTACAGTTCGCCGGACGCTCTGTGTGCTTATTTCCCTCTCTCTCTCTCTCTTTCTCTCTCTCTCTCTCTCTCTCTCTCTCTCTCTCTCTCCCCCTCTGTATCGAGAGTATATATATCGCCTGACAGCGATCGTCCCGTCATTAAATAGAACGGTTCAACTAGTTATTAAGTTCCACAAATCACGATTCCTTTAATGCGATACGGCTTAATCGGGATGAGCATAAATTCCATTTATACCCGTACCGTAACCCAAATCCTTGGGCGGCGTCTTGGCTATATTTCACATCGGGCAGTTAAGACGTGCTGCGAATATGTCCGCTTTTAACGATGATGCGAGTACCAACACGTGTGTACGAACGGTGTGTGCTCTAAATCGTCCTGAAATTGTCGTGCACGCGCATCGAACCGACTCGCGAATTTGTTTTCTCTGCGATTCAGCGCGATCAATCCGCGCGTAATATCGCGCGTCAGGATTTCGCTGTTATTTCGGTGTTCTCGCTGCACTAACCTGCAGCGGAGTTATGTTTTCCTGATAATCAGCGCCCGAGTAAGGTGGATACAGTTGGGCCAGACACATGACCGCTTCGTTGCAAAACTTCAAGCCCATTACTTCCTCGTCTTCTCTGCCGTAGCGGAAAGTCAGCGTCACTTGACCGTACACCTTTTAAGAAGAAGAAGAATATAATACGGTTAAAAATATACATAATTCATACATAATTCATTATTTTTAGTATGATGATTTAATTTAGTTATAAAAATGCGGGAAAATTTATCGGTATATCACAAACTTGTTGCAAATGTCAATTGTGTCACGGGATATTATAAAGTAAATCAAAGTTGAAGCGTCGTCGTGCTCGAAACGCTTTCAATATTCGAGGAATATTTCAAGACATATCGCGTCTTGTTAGAGATAAGTAAGCAGATCTTCGAGGATTTCGAAAGCATAGTATGGTATTATCTTCCTTTTTCTCTTTCTTTTTTCCTCTTTTTTTCTTTTTTGTTTCGTGTCCTTGGCGAGTCGAAGAATGTACAGTTTATAGTTGAACGTTAATTATCTCGGATCGAAAGATACGCCGCGCCGTAGGAAATCTTTCTGTTAGATCTGATATTATATCTGCACGACGGAACTGTACGGGATCCTTTACGAACCCTCCGAGGAGCTTTATTCCAATCACTGAGCTTGACTCAATATTGCCAGACTCGATACGCGCTGGAGTATTTGCGAAATCTTCTGATGAACATGCCAAAAGTGTTCGCGAATGCAATATTTTTCAGGAGAAAACAATTTGTGAAAAATATCAAATTTGTTTCTCGTTAATTGCGTTTTTCTTTGTTTTAGTAAACATTTCCGCTAATTGCAATGGCATCGATATCTTTTCCGGCGAGTCTTTATATTCGTCTATTTCGCCCCGTTTTACCTTTTTTTCCTGCAAGTAGTCGGGATCGACCAAAAGGACACCTTGGAGTTTGTCGATCTTGGATTCGCTGACAATAAGATCTCTGCTTGCTAGGTACAGTGTCAACTTATTGTTCGGCGAGGACTTCTTGTATACCCTGTAGACCGGAAAACGTTTCGTGTTAGAATAAGGTGAAATTGAAGATCATAAATTTGAGATCCGAGCGGCATTTTCCAGAGGATATTGCAGTATCTGTTTTGCTGTGAGATAAGTTAAAAGCGAAAAAGCTCGGTCTCGTATAAAATTTTGTTCGTCACATACGCGAGTACGAATCGCGGATTAATTTATTGGATTTGTCGCTTCCCGTTATTCACGAGATAGAAGATACACGTACAGATCCTCGTATCGTTGAGCGCAGCTCAACGCGAATATTCGCGATATTCGCGACGCTTAAATAAATCGTGCGTTATTTAAACTCGGCTGCTGCTCGGCTATAACGCAACGAGTTCCCGCACACGAGTGAATTTTATCGCGGAACGTGACATTCTAAGCGCAAGATGCGGCGTATAAATGCAAACGCATTGCCATTGTACTTCACGCTTAGGCAATCAGCAGGACCGCGACGGCCAATATTTACCGTTGTATGTAATGTTTTAGCGTGGCTGCGTTGTTACATGCACAGAAGTCGCGCGCGCAAATACAAAATTTTTCATACAGATATTATATTACGCCATGATGTAAATGCCACGATTAAAATTTAGAGCCCTTTCTCGGAGTCCCCGCGCGTGATCTCGCTCCGACGCGACGCGGTGCCCTTCCATCTAAGTATTATTACTACGTGACGCGAGCCCGCGAATCTGCTAAAGCTCTCGGCGAACGTTTACCGTAGCCCGCTCCATTGTCTCGACGACGTCCCCGAGCCTTTGCATCCGGTCTGAAGGCAGTCTGTCGACTAATTCGCCTCACGGCGGTCCTTCGTTCCAGAACAGTTACTAACGATTACAGTGCGAAGAGAACGGCGCTGATTCAATCCGCTTTATTCAGTTTGCCATTCATTGAGCGGGTTATCAATTTCGCCGGGATTTCGTCTGTTCCTCACAGCATAGCAGGGAATGGGGCGCGTTCATTTAGCCGTAACACTGCAACGCGCGGGCAACGGGCGCAAATATGCTCATTTGAGTGCGGTCGACCGTGTCGTATACATCCGCAAGAGGATGCCGTTGTTATTTGCTTCGGTCTTTTTCGCGAATGTAACAACTATGCGTGCGCGCATCATCAACAACATTAATGTTGTCTCTATTATTTAATGCACAGCGGCAATTGACCGTGATGTTGCCTGATGATCGGGCAATTTGCGCGAGTAATCGCCTGTAAGCTGCAATTAAAATAAATGATTTATGTTTCGCGAAATTATTCGGCCGTAATCGCCCGCGCGAACGGCCGACCGATGTTTTGCTGTATTTAGCGCGCGCGCGCGCACGCGATAATTTGCGATGATAAATTCGATAACGATTGTTTGGCGTGCCGATTAGTCGATAATGCTTTGTTAAAACGCCCATCTCAAACGCCATTACGATCTCGCGCTCCTATACATATGCATTCGACAACGGCAGCTAAGACCACAATCGGCTTAATGAGTTTCTCCGCCGCGCCGGCATTGTCGTGCCTGTTAACGCGTGCACGCGTTTTACGGCTCCGATGCAGATAGGTGCAAATTAAAAGCCGCGCAAGCCGCGTGTTTGTCGCGCGCATTGTGCCGCGAGTTTGTGAGATTTCGGAATTCTCCGATTCCTCGAAATTCCGCTCGAAAATCGACGCAGAGCTCGTTGCCGGCGGTCTCTCGGAGCGTACAAGACGAGCTCGCGGCGGCCGCAGCAGCGTTTCGTCCTTTTCGCTCCTTCGAATCTCGCTCCGTCATTTCAGTAGAGAGCTGTCGATCTCGTGTGTTTTATCGCGGCAGAATCGAGGAAGAAATGAACGCCGGCGATCGATGACGCATTGACACACACGCGCGCGCGACAGAACACGCGGTCAATACTTACGACGCGTGTATCATCGAGCGTTATTGACTCTTTCCAGTGCAGCGAGGGATGTTGATTAATCCGAACACCGCCTTAGAACGCCTTAGCGGCGCAACGCGTTGGCATCCACGATGCTTTAATTAAACTTTACAACGGAGTTCATTGCGCGCGACGGTCGACATCGTAGCTCTGACAAAAGACACGGTTTTTTTTTAATTAAATGCGAGTTTCGTAGGCGCGCCGGGCGCATTAATCAAACTTCACTCTCTCGGTATGATTGTATACTTATCAACGATGTATTTGTAAGATACACCGTGCCGCGTTGTGACACGCTAAAGTGGGATTCATGATGAATTAACCGCGTCGTACGGAGATCCTATTAAATCCGTAACGCCCGACGCTCTTTTTGTCGCTCTTTACACGCGCGATAGCGTGCAACTTACTTCTCGCTAATGTTATTTAATAGACAGAATATAAGTAAGAAACTTGTACGGTATTGAAGAACGACCGCATCCTTCTGCAAATCGTCGTATTAAGTATTGTATCTGCATAAAACGTCCAAAAGCGGCAAACTTTCGTTGCTGCTATTCACGTTACTTTATTGCGATTTCATTGCTGACATTGAAATTAATTTAACAATAGACTTTATTTGGACGCGCGCGCACGCATATATATATGTGTGTGTGTGTGTATGATTCTTGAAAGATAAAAAATATTCATTCATCTTGTAGATCGTAATGGCAATCTTGATTTTATTGTTGGTCGGACATGCATCGACGGAGTGAATCTGTGTGAAAACAAAAACGTTTTCACTTTGTCGTGCTCTAGATTGTCTTTTTGTATGTATTTCAATATCGCTGACATACAATAGATAGCAGAAAACCAGAAACGCTTTAAAACAAATACGGTCAAACGTGCCGAGTCAAAAAGTAGAAGCGTTTTAAAGCACGTTGAAATATAACAGAGTATATATGCAATAAATAAATAAAAAATTTCCTAGAGAGCATAATATTGTGACAGGTAAAATGAAGGTATTTTCACTCGAAATAGAAATTGTTTGATGCATATTGCGGGTAAATTTTCTCATTTACTCGAACCAAGAACGAATTTTGTCGTCGATTGAGACGAATTATATTTGCTATTTCTTTTGTTCAGAACAGAAATGATTTTGCCTCGAATGATTGCCTTCACGTTATCGAAATGCGCCTAATCTAAAAATCAATGACAGGATAATTCGAATATCTTAATACGCGATGGAATTAGAGATAATTCCGCACTCTGTTGCTCGAATTCGAAATAGGACATGCCGGGTCGTTTCATAAGGTTCAGTAAATATTCACAGCTGTACACTTTTAGTATTCACTCGTCGACCGACAGGTCGATGAAACATTGTCTCTGATGTGAATCCAACGATAAATCATACTGTGTCAAGGTCTCTGATCACAAACGATACCAATCGCACACATTTGCACGCACAATCTGACATTAACATCTTGATTTTCCTTTCTGTCACTTCCCCCGTCTCTCTCTCTCTCTCTCTCTCTCTCTCTCTCTCTCTCTCTCTCTCTCTCTCTCTCACTCTCTCTCTCTCTCTCTCTCTCTCTCTCTCTCTCTCTCTCTCTTTCTCTCTCTCTCTCTCCGTCTCGTACTCCAATTTTGCGCCGTTCTATATATTTTCGTTGTCGATGTGAGAACTAACATTACGCTCAGAAAGTTCTCTCCACTTTGTCGCTATATCATGACAAAGTCAGCGCTTCACCCCTCCGGCGTCTCAACTTCTTGGTTAAGCGATTTCGTTCGACCGTGAAGATCCAATAATACTTTTCCTTTTTCTACCAAACTGGCTGCGGCTATATTCGGAATAACCGGGTCAAGGATACATCGCGACTTTAATTATTTACTTTTTTCAGCTTATAATGACTTCGTATAAACATGAATACGCACATGCACAGATTTTGGTTCGCATTAAGATCTTGCTGTAGCTGTTAACGGTGTGCATTATCGTAATGAGTGTTTTAATGGATTTCAACATTATGTATTTAGAGAGCCCGTGACCTTTCGTTATTCGCAATAGTCACGTCTGAGAGATTTTCCGCGTACTATCCGTTAAATTTAAATTATGTAAATTAAAGACGAGGGCAATTTATGCATTTTCGTTGAGCTTAAAAATTATAGGGAGCCGTGCGTGAGAAATATACTTGATATACGACGTTCTTTTTTACATTTTATACTTTTTTTCATTCCAATAAAAACGAGACGCGGTGTGGAAGAGGAGACATGCTCACGTTCGCGACTGTAACAATTTACGTTTCGATCGATGATTATTTATAATCGATTTTTTTATGATTTTTTCATTACCTCTGGCTGCTGAATACAGAATCCGATATATGGTCCGGACTCGTATCGATTTTTCTGAAACAGAGAAGCAATAGGTCGCGTTATTCATTGATTTGTTAGATTTCCTTTTAGCGTGTATGAATGCGAAGCTTGTATGAAGTTCTGAAATTTATCAACGCAATATCTCAAGTAAGTGTATAAGCGTATAAATAGAAGACGCGAATTCACCCGTCTATTGTCATAAAGTCCATCGACTTCAACACTGTGGATTATGGAGGAAACAATTTGAATTGTTGACGTTTCACGTAGCATCGCGTAGGCTTGTTTATTCCACCCACGTTTCTCGACTGTTTGGACTGAAAAAGTACACGTGCTATCATGTTGTTACGTCATACCGTTATTCATCTCTCTCTCTCTCTCTCTCTCTCTCTCTCTCTCTCTCTCTCTCTCTCTCTCTCTCTCTCTCTCTCTCTCTCTCTCTCTCTCTCTCTCTCTCTCTCTCTCTCTCTCTCTTTCTTCACTTATATTTAGATTTGTATTCGCCATTAGCGGAAAGCGTGGTTTAATGAGAGTATTAAATTTGTCGAAGGAGCAATTTGACTAACGTGCTTCGAAGTTATATGGAAAGAAATTTCCTCGGAGATTGGGAAGATCGATTTTTTTTCCAAAATTTATCAAATTGGTTCTTGCATCACTCGTTACGTTTCGTCTCTCTCTCTCTCTCTCTCTGTGATATAATTTAAAAAAATTCCAAAGATCTCAGTTTGGAAATCGCAACTACAAAGATCATTTCGGTGAGAGTCCGTATTCGTGACGTTGATAACGAGAGATCGTCTGGGCAAACCAGCGCGTACGAGTTGCTTAGTTTTAATTAATAAGTTCAAACGCGAGGTTATGCACGCGAACAAGTGAGTTATGTGCAGGCTCGCGTAAATCGTCGCTGTTTTAATTGTAGCTTGTCACGGTTACGTCTTGCGCGCGTTACGCAAGATAGTCTTTTGTGTCGCTTTGCGCGAAATTACATAAATAAATGTGCGCGGGATTATGCGGCACGCGATGTGCAGGAGCGTTCTCTACGGGGCTTTTACATTTGTAGCTTAATTTCCTCCGGGCAGATGTAAACCAGGAAAAAATATTTCTTTCATACGATAGAGGAGAATCTGCTCGGTAAAATGTCATTGGAATATTTTTCAGGAATATTTCAGTATATTCCTTGATGCGAAGACTTGCTTTAGCTTCGAGTAGCAAAAATTCTCAACCAATATCGTATTAACGAAAAGAGCAATTTTTATTAGTAGTCAAATAGATTTATAGTAGTGGTAATATTAATTTTGCGGCTCAATTTCCAAAATATCTAGAAATTAGGAGCTCACAGTTAGCGAATGTAATTGGAATCTTTCATTGAAATTTCCCCAGGACGACGAATGAAATGCTTTTCATTCGATATAGCGTTCTCCTAGTAGTTTACTTATTAATTGAACACGCTTGGACGACTTCGATCATGTCGCAATTAAGTAGATTGTAGGGAGTGACGTTGATAGTTCGACGTGATTGTAATTTATCGCAGTGGTAATTGCATTACACGGAATTATACACAGTGCGCCATACACTTTACGTGCAACCTTGAAAGAGATCGATAACCCATCGGCCGTATTCGTAACATATTTCGCTGTGTCATTACTTACAGTGATTTCAGCGAAGACCTTGTGTCTGGTTATCTTATAAATATAACAATACGCCAAAGTCACTCGCGCGACTGCAAAAACACGCGTTTCGAACGTTTCACGTTTCCTTCGAAGAGAAAAAGAAAACCGAAATATTTTATCGTACGCGCTGTTCAAGTCGCGCGTCGTATCGCGTTAAAATTTATTACAAAAGAGATCAAGCAAACGGATTATTCGCATTGAATATAGCCATTTACATAATAATACACGTGCACGTTATTTTCCCATTGCAGCCGTGATTTGAAACTTCGCGTAATTGTATCGAGGAAAAAGTCACATGAGCGAGATCGAAGTAACGGGGATTATTTTTGTTGATGTCCTCCGATGTCTCGACAATGGCGGCGATCGAATGCCGCTTCGCCTCGTGTTTACACTTTTCCATTAACCCAATTAAAAGATTTTACGTTCAATATAAACGCGAATCTTTTCGGAAAGCAATCCCGATCCTGCGGTTTACAGCCACGTAGGCGGCTCGCGGAGTCGACCATCAGGATTGCTGTCGATCAGGATGCGCGAAATCGCGCGTGACAGATGGAAAAGGTTGCAACTTGACATTAGGCTGATCGCGTAATTCACCAGGCGTATAATCGCTTCAAGTGGTGCACACGCTGCGCTTGGCGTTTTGTGCGCAAAAATACGGTCCCACTGTAGTCTGCTTCACGGTGGATTTAATTGCACGGGTTTAAAGAGAATTGAAATGTTCGACCTTTTCCTACGTTTACATTTACCAAACATAGCGCGCGGCTTATCACGAACCTTTGGAATGGCGTTCGCTCCAATAATTTCGAGCGTAGCTGACAAAGCCCGCGGCGCGCTCTCTTTATCAAGTTGAAACGATATAAAACGGTAGGTCCGGGAGATGCGTATCAGAGCATTTTATTATATTCATAAAACTTGTCATGGAAAAAAAATCATCTTTCCAATGCGGCTTTTGCGGCATACGCGTCACAAATGGACGCGCTCGTGTATGTGACTTTATATTATCGTTCATTTATTTTAATTAGCTGATTACAATCAATTAACTTATTTATTAAACCCCCCCCCCCGCAGGGGCAAACACACATACACACACACGCATACACAAACACGTTACAAACACTCTACAAATGTTTTTTCATTAAACGAATGTTTCATATAATTCAAGATTACGTATGTCCAATAATGTTTTTGCGTCAGCCGCGAACGCACAAATTACTCATTCACAACGTGAGCGATATTCGTATACAATAACGCGCGTTCTTGCGCGTGTAAAACGCGCAACGCGACGTCGCGCTCGCGCGCGATTAATCGAGCGCCAGTCGCAGTTTCGACTTTATCAATCGTCGCTCCCGAACCAAACTGGGACAATCGCTGAGCGTAATCGCTCGCTTTTCTCCGCTCACGAATTTCAGGGTGTATCGAGACATTAACGTCAGTCGTTTCGCACCGGCGCCCATTATCGGACGTCGTTTCACGAGCATAGCGTGCGCTGCGATGCAACGTGCTGTGCCAGCCACGAGAGCGATGCGACTCGTGGCTGTAGACAACCAGGTGTTGCACAGCAGCAGCGACAGCACGGCAATGAATGTTGCGCCGTTCGCATATACGTACCTCGCATGTACCGTAACCGAGACTGAAATCAAAGCGGAGCGGGCGGGATAAAATTTTTCGTCGTCGGCGAGAATACACACGACGCGACACTTGGCGAGTGAATTCGTTATCAAGCGAACTGTTATAGGCGGATCTACGGCGAAAAGCGGAGTAACTTCAGCTCTCAATCCTCGCGTGAAGGAGAGCTCCCACGCGTTTAAGCGCCACGTACATCCATCTGTAACGAATGAAAGTCGCTTGGCGCGGACACCTCGCGTTTTCTCTCTCTCTCTTTCTCTCTCTCTCTCTCTCTCTCTCGCGCGCGCGCAGAGGAGAGGCGGATGAGAAATATGGTGCCGCGGTGATTCCTCGAAATTTTAAGTTAATAACTGTTAAGACTGTCCGCGACAGGAGCACGAACTCGACGCTGTCGCGCGGACGCAACCCTCGAAAAATGCTCCGTTTCAAATCCCAGCGAGCGAATCCGTCGCTCGCTCAAGGGTTGCCTGCACGGTTGCCAAGAGCGAAATGGTAATAATAGCTCCGAGAAGGGCTGAGGTTCGACGTTTTATGCGCCGGTGTTAGGAGATTGAGTCGCGGTGGGAATGCCGGAAATGGGAAATAAATCTCATGAGCCGAAAGCGCGAGCGCGGGCCTCGCCCTGGCCGGACGAGACCGATATTTGGATTTATCGCGCATACGAAACGTGAACGTTCTGTCCTTATTGACGAACACTGGCGCGATTGCTCCTGGTAGATCATGGATTATTCAAGCCATGGTGTTACGTTACCATCGCATGCAGCCTTGGCCGGCGTCAGCGAGAGGTTCTCGGTTAAAGTATCAGCCTAACGAGATTGCCGCGGACACGAGGCCCCGGATGCTCGTCTGGTTTGTTACGGTGGAATGGAACGACCTCTCTGGTTATTCGCACGGCGAAGATAATTTTCTCATATGCTTCATGCGCTCCGTTTCGCGTATTTCTCCGCATTATCATCGCGTCATCGCTCTGTGGAATTTTACATATCACGTATCGCATTTCCCACGAGCTACGCTCGTAGCTCGTTGTCGCCGTTGTCGCCGTTGTCGCGCTCGCTCTCGTGTCGTGTCGTAACACCGGCGGTAAAGTTGAATTTTTGCAGATGTCGAAGTAATTGTGATTTAACGCGCGATCGTCAGGGGACGCGGTCTCGCTTCCGCGTTTTATAAAGATAATGTACGCAGAGTTAAATGCGTCACATTTGAAAGCCGTCGCCATGCGGATTGACGATGTCCATGCGTTATTCATCGCTTGGAACTCACTTCGCTCCGTGCCGGAGACGTCCAAATGACGTGCAATCGTAACGCGAATCGATAAGCGGCTTGCGCCGGGAAGCACGCATCGAGCGCTTTTCCTAGTAAAATGATCGGCAGCGGCGGTATGTTTACATTTTAATATTGTCGAGCGGGGCTCGCATGTCGATATCTTGATTACGCGTATTGCATATTGTTGTATTGCGATATTATACATATTCGGTCATCGTGATCATTTTGTGCCATTTGCGAGCGAGCCGCGCTGTCCGTCCGATCGCGACTTCGTGTCGAATTTTTCTGCGGCCGAGGAAATTCGACAAAAGCCGCTTGTTTCGCATGCTGATGATAAATGCGAATTGAATGAGAATTTTGAACTGAAAAGAACGGAGATTTGTATTTACATCGTTGTCGTTGGGATATGAAAGTCACACGGTCGTACGATTTGATCCGCTTTAATTCGCGTGTCTCGTTTCTCGATATGTGCCCGTCGTG